GCAGCTCAAAAATAATGAGAACATCATGAATCAGGAAAGAGAAGTCAGCAATAAAGAGGAGTTGATTATCAATCAAGAAGAGTTGCTCAACAATAAAGAGGAGGAGATCATCAATCAAGAAACAAAGGCCAACAATAAAGAGGAAAAAATCATCAGCCAAGGGAGGAGGTTAATAATAAAGAGAAGGGGATCATTAATCAAGAAGAGGAGGTCAACAACGAAGAGGGAAAGGTCATCAATCAAGAAGAGGAGGTCAACAATAAAGAGGAGGAGTCTGTCAACCAAGAAATATATGTCAACAATAAGGAGGAGGAAATAATCAATCAAGAAGAGGAGGGTAGCTATAAGAAGGAGGAGCTCGTTAATCAAGAGGAGGAGGTCAATAATAAAGAGGAAAAGATTGTCAATCAAGAAATAGAGCTCAACAATAAAGAGGAGGAAATCATCAACCAAGAAATAATTAATGTGAACAATAAAGAAGAGGAGATCATCAATCAAGAAAAGAAGATTAACAATAAAGAGGAGGAGCTTATTAATCAAGAAGAGGAGGTCAACAGTAAAGAGGAAGAAACAATCAATCAGGAAAAGAGGACTGACAATAAAGAGGAAGATATTATAAATCAGGAAAAGGAGGTCAACAATAAAGAGGAGATGAACATCTATCAAGAAAGTTTGGTTAACGATAAAGAGAAGGAGATTTTGAAAGAAGAGCTCAATAATAAAGAGAAAGAAAACGCTGAAGAAGAGGAGCTCAACAATAAAAATCAGAAGATAGTTCATAAGGATGAGGGAAATGTCAATCTAGAGGAAAATATATTCAGTTATGAGAAAGGAAAAAGTCAGCAGGACCTCAACCAAGAGAGGAAGACCAATGATGAAGCAAAGATTATTCACGAAGAAGATATAACCACTCATGAAGAACAGGACATCACCCAACAAAATATCAGTCTAGAAGCAGAAAGCATAAGTCAAGAGGAGGAGAACACTGCCAAGAACAACAATGCAGAACATGACATTAACTTAGGAAAAGAAGATCAAGAGAAGGAAAACCTCAATCAAGAGAACATCAATCAAGAGGGGGAAATCATCCATAACAAGGAGGAGGGCATTAATGAACAGAATGCAGAACCATCAATATTAAATCAAGAAAATATTTATCCAGAGCAGGAGAAGATCAGCCATGAACAGCTGATAACCAATCATGAAGTGGATAAAGAATTTGATCAACAGAACATCAATCAAGAGGAGGAGAACCTAATTCAAGAAGAGAAGAACACCAGTCATGAGGAAGAGGTAGCCAATCACAAGGAAGAAAGCATTGGTGAACAAAACATTAGTCAAGAAGATGACTCCACAGTTCAGGAGGAGGTGAACATTAAACAAGAGGAAAGCTTTAGTGAAGCGAAGGAGAACATTACTAACATAAACAAAAACTTCAACCAAGAGGACAATACAAGTCAAAAAAAGGAGACCGTTATTCAGGAAGAGAACTTTAAAGATGAAATTGATAATATAATTCAAGAAGAGAACATAAAGAACAAGACACAGAACCTCATTCAAGAGAATGGGAGCTTCAATAAGGACCACACCAGTCAAAAAGATGAAAGTACAAGTATGCAAAATGGGAATGCCAATAAGGAGGATGCTGAGCCAGAGGCAGTCACCCCTCATGAAAAAGAGTACACCATTCAAGAGAAGGAGAACACCAATGAAGATGAGAGAATCAATCAAGAAAAGGAGGACAGCAGCCCAGAAAAAGAGGACATCATTGAAGAAGAAAATACCAGAGAAGAGGAGAACATTAGTAAAGAAACCCTCAATCAAGAGGAGAATATCATCCAAGATAAAGTGGAGAAAATCACTGAAGGTGAAATGGATAAACTAGAAGATGAAATAACAAAAAACATGCAAAGCACAGATATTCCAGCATTGGAATCTGCTTCTGAAGGCTTCCAGGACCAACATCAGGAGACAAAGTTGGACATTTCACAATCATCAGACCTAGAAGAATATTTCTGGGGTCGTAAGTATAATATAATATTCTCTTTCTGAGCTGTCTTAATGATTTTTTCTATGCTGTATATTTTCTGATGATAGAATATAATACATTTCCTGTTCTGATGATGTCAGATAGGACGGTAGCAAGTGGCATTGGCGACTTTTAATACACAAATGCATTTCCTACAGATAATGGGACCAGTTACAGGAGCTCTTTCTGAAATGTAGCTGTATATCATCTAAAGCCTGTCTGTTTAAAGCCTGTCCTTGCTTTTTGTGTCCCCACTAGAGAGATTCACCCTCTCTATGTGCTCTGGTGACTCTTGTCATTGGGACACAAAGTAATCAGAGATCCAAGGTTTTCTAGTTGTCACTAGAACAAGAAAGGGTTAGAAATCTTCCAATGGGCAGGGCTGATGCTGCCATTAGTCAAACTAGGCAGCTGCCTAGGGCACCATGGCTGCTGGTTTCCCTACTCTCCACCATGGCTGGATCTAGGGGAGTGTTGGGGTAGGCTATGCCCCCCAAGACCAGTCTTTCCATGGATGCTGTGCCTGGTCCCTGGGTCCCTTCCCCCATCCCTGCACTCAAGGCTGGGACAAGGGGAGAGCAGTCTGGAGCAGTGAAGCCTGTAAAGAAGAAATGACAGAAAGAGGTGGGAGGTGCAGGCTGTGCTCTCCTCTTTTATCCATGGAGCAGATGACACAGAACAGTGCACAATGAAGGGGAGGTGTAACAATCATTTGTGCTGGGATGAGAGGTTTGAGCAGGAGGGGGGATGAGGATTCTTTGCTGGGAAGGGTAATGGGGATGATGATGGGGGGATTTGTGCTAGGAAAATGAATCTGGGGACATATGCTAGGATTAAGAGGGAGGTTTGGGAGGGAGGGGGGGTTGGGAGGGATTTGTGCTAAAAGGAGGGGGGGAATATGGGGATTTGTGCTAGGAAAATGAATCTGGGGACAAGTGCTAGGAGTAGGGGGGAGGTTTTGGGGGGGGGGGGGGGGGTGTGGGGGGGATTTGTGCTAATAGGAGGGGGGATTTGGGTAAGGTGGAAGGATTATATGATGGAAAGGGTAATTTGGAAAGGTTTTAGCTAGAGGAAGGCTTTGGGGGAATTTGACCTATGTGGGGTGATTGAAGGGGGGATTTGTGTAAGGAGGGGGAATGGGGGGAGGGGATTCGTGCTAGGAGAGGGGATTGAGGGAATTTATGTTAGGAGAGAGGACTGGGGGGAAAGTTGTGTTAGGAGGAAGGATTTTGGGGGATTTCTGCTTTGAAGGAGGGATTGGGGGAACTTGCACTAGGAGGAGGGACTGGGGGGGGGGTTGTGTTAGGAGAGGGGATTGGGGGGTTGTGCTAGAAAGGAGGATTTTTTTGTCTTTCAAGTGTGGGGGGAAACCAGAGTACTCAGAGGAAACCCACACAGGCACAGGGAGAACATACAAACTCCAGAAAGGTAGTGCCGTGGTTCGGATTCAAACCAGCAGTACCCCAAGTACTGACCATTTAGCCACTGTTTATGAGCTTTTGTTCATTATGGGCTTTTGAGAAGATAGATGACGGAGGTTGTAATGTGTGGTATTGATTCTTTTTGATGTTTTACCTTTGATAAATGTCATTTGTAGTTACTTATATTGTTACGTGGTTTATTGATGAACTCAATAGCACTGCACAATATTTTTGAATATATGATAACACATTGCTGCTCACCATGAAAGATGATAATTCAGACATGGTTGTGTAGAGACTGAGGCCATTCACTGTGTGAATTTTGACCGGTTCCAGAGAAAACAAATGAAAATTGCTTCCCTCCTGCCCCACATCCTTTGATTTTTTTTCTTTCCGATTGCAACCTGAGCAAAAAAAATGATCAGTGTCTGGCCGGCCTTAGGAAGTAAACTGGTGGAAATGTCTTTACATTTCTTTAAATAGACAGCATAGCGATTTAACTTTCTGAAATTAAAGCATTTCTCAAGACTCTGCTTTTTTAATGTAAAATATCAAATGTTATATTTACCTGCTCTGTGTTAGGTGTGATTTTGCACAGAGTGGCCTCAAACCTCTTCTTCTGGGGACCCCCGCCAGCTCTCTAGGCTCCTCATTTTCTGTATTTGTCCCATAGCAAGTGCTTACTATGGAGGTTGATCTGAAGGATTGATCCCAAGCCAGGCTGTGTGCATCTATGGACACACAAAGAGCAGCTCAGCTCCGCCCCCCCCCCCCCCCCCCCCCATTCCGTCCTCACAGGATTTAATTGACAGTAGTAGGAGCGATGCTGCTGTTGGGCACAGTGCTGGATCGAAGGAGGAGGAGGGGGGGCTGGATTCTGGAAGGTTTTTTACTTTAATGCTTAGAATGCATTATGGTATAAAACCTTTAGCCTTTAGCAGGGGCGGACTGACCATTTGGAAACTGGGCACTGCCCGAGGGCCCTGGGGTCCGTAGGGGCCCCATGAGATGCCTCTGGTACCTTTTTCATAGGCTTTTTTGAGTTTGGGCAAGGACACAGGGGCTCCATGATCCCCTATTGCCTGGGTGCCCCATGAGTTGTAAGTCCACCCCTGGCCTTTAGAACCACTTTAAGTAAATTTGGATATAATGTGGAATACTGATTTATTTAATACATATTTTTCTCTTTCATAGCTAAAATTAAAAGTTATGACGACAAACTAAGGGAATTAAACCTGGTGAGGTTCCGAACATCAAAGCTCAGTCTTATGGAAGTTCTGGAGATCAGCCAAGAGGATCTACGGAACACTGTCCCTCAGAAGACAGAGGATGTACCCTGGCAATTCCTACAGAGCCTCATGGCCCTAAATAGTACTGCAAGAAACACACGGCTTAATCAGTCACTATGTACAAAATCAAACACAATGCAAGATGAAGATATGGATTTCATGGATGATATAGACATATCAACTTCCATTCATCCTCTGGATGTTATCTGCCTTCTTCTGAATTGTTCAGATAGTTTTCTGCAACAAGAGATTGTGACTAAAATGTCCATGTGCCAGTTCGCACTCCCTCTTCTGATTCCTGCTGGGGAAGGATTTCATATAACTTTAATGTTGTGGGCAATGAGAGATATAGTGAAGAGATGGAGACCCCAATCATTAGCAAACGTTAAAGGATGCAAGGAAGACAACTTGGTCAATATACCCATGCCTGTTTTCTCCTTTGCTAGACTGGGAAGGTGTAATCTTTCAAAATCCAGAATTCTAAATCATATCCTAAGTCCAGTCCAACAACACCATGATTTTTTTGTCCATCAGAACATGGAAGGGGCAAATATTGTAAGGGAAGTCTCTGATGGTTTGGTGGAAATCTCGTGGTTCTTTCCCGGAGGAAGCGAACTCTTGGACCTGTTTCCAGATCCAGTCGCGGTGACAAATCTCCGGGGTGATCTGGAATCTAACTGGACTCAATTCAACTTTCTAACAAAAGTATCCTCAGCTGTGTTCATATTTATTGAGACTATGGATGATCAAAACTATAGCATTTTATCCAACATTGAAGAATCAGACACAAACTACTTCATAATTCTTGCTCCTTCTTCTAGATGTATAAGCGTGGAGACCCAGAACCACATAAAGATGTTATACCCCATCTTGAAAATCAACAGAAAAAATGTTCTGGTGAAGAACAACTCGGTTAATGATGCAGAACTGGTAAAGAAACTGCAGCTAATTATCTTAGATTCAGTTAAGTCTTCCCCTTATTATATCACCCTGGAGGAGATGTCTCACATAGCCGCAGATCTAGGCATATGCATTGATGAAGGTTCAGAAGAACATCAAAATACAAGGACACTTGCACTGGAAATTACTAAGAGTGTGAAAGATGTTGTGCAGTACAAGAATGAAACAATGGTACTACAAGGAGAACATTGGAAACAGCTGGCCAAAATTGAAAAGGAAATGTGTCGAATGAAAGGACTTGGCAGTGACAATGCAGAGGATTACAGAGCAAAGCTAGTAAAGAAGTGTGCTGGCTTTAGGAGGCAACAAAGTGAGTGCAGTATGCCTGATGGAATACTCACATTTATAGCTGCACTCAACAACCTATCACGTATTGAGAAACGTTATTTTTTGAAGTGGATGAAGCTCTACCTTGATTCAGTCACTAGAAATCATCTTTCAGCCCTCCAAGCTGAGTACAAGGAGCAATACTATAAAGTGAACCCCAATGTGGACAGGCTGAAAGAACTTGATCAAATCATTATGAACAGCTCACTAGGAGTGGAACATTTCATTCGAGAAGTTGGCCAGTTTTATGAAGCTGAACACTTCCTAGCAAATGATTGTACAAGTGATCAAAAGCTTCATAATCTTCCAAGTATTGCTGCTGATCTGTTGTTGGACGGGTTCCCATTGGAGCTAATTGATGGAGATGGGTCAAACATCCCCATGCAGTGGATAACTGATGTCCTGGTTGAGTTGGACACCAAGACAGGGGGGCAATGCAGAATGAAAGTGATAACTGTACTGGGAGTGCAAAGTACGGGGAAATCCACCCTTCTCAACACCATGTTTGGCCTGCAGTTCCCGGTGGCCAGTGGACGCTGCACACGAGGGGCCTTCATGACTCTTCTAAAAGTGAAAAACAATTTACTAGATGGGCTTGGGTGTGAGTTCATTCTGGTAATTGACACCGAGGGGCTGAAAGCTCCTGAGTTGGCTTCTGTTGAAGAAAGTTACGAGCATGACAACGAGTTAGCAACCTTTGTAGTTGGGTTGAGTGACATTACTATAATTAACCTGGCCATGGAAAATACAGGAGAAATTAAAGATATTTTGCAGATAGTGGTCCATGCATTTCTGAGGATGAAAGAATTAGGTAAGAAGCCCAACTGCCAGTTTGTTCACCAAAACGTTAGCGATGTGTCTGCCCATGAGAAGAACATGAGAGACAGGCAGAAACTTCTGGAACAGTTAGATGAAATGACCAAAGTAGCTTCTAGAATGGAAGAAAAAAGTAGCATGACCAAGTTTTCAGATGTTATGGACTATGATCTTGAGAAGCACAGCTGGTATATTCCAGGATTTTGGCACGGAGTTCCACCAATGGCTTCGGTAAATACAGGGTACAGCGAAAACATTATTGAACTAAAGAGGCAGCTGTTTGAAACTATGAAAAAACAGCTCGAGTCCAGAAATCCTCAGAGCATATCTGATTTTATCAAATGGATAAAAAGTTTGTGGAACGCGGTGAAGTATGAAAATTTTATTTTTAGCTTCAGAAACAGCCTGGTAGCCGATGCTTACAATCAACTATCAATAAAATATTCAGAACTGGAGTGGAATTTCCGTAAGAGAATGCACACATGGATTAATGAGGCAGAAAATGAGATCCTCAATCAGCCAGCTTCAGAACTTGAAAGTGAAATTTGGGCTGGCATAAAAGAGGACATGCATCAAGTATTACAAGAAGAAGAGAAAGTCATGCTGGAAGCTCTAGAAGAATATTTTGAGAGTGGGAACAAATATGTGCACCTTGTAGAGAGATACAGGGAAGACTTCTTTAGGAGTGCAGCAACACTTAAGAATGAAGTTGAAGACAATTTACCCATCAAATGTGAAGAAGCTATCCGCATACAGAAAGGGAAGCATGAGATACAGTTTGTTCAGAACAGCTATTTGAGGACCATTGAAGAGAAAGCCACAAGCCTCTTGGACAACTGCAAGAATGTAAAGCATCAGCTTAGCGATGAGGAACTAAAATCTGAGTTTGAGGTTATGTGGAATAAAACAATATCTGGATTACAGTTTGGCAGCTTAAAAAATCACAACGTCAGTCAAGAAATGATTGACCAACTCAGGAAAGACATGAGGCACAAAGCAGGTTACATCAATGAGAAGTTGAATGAAGTCAAAAGTCTAGACGGTTACGGGCAAAATGGACTGGACTTGGATAAGAAATATACTCAAAGCAGATGGTATGAGAACATGCCAGAAGTGAATAATGAGGACTACTGGAATAAGGTGAGCAGCCTTGTAACTTCTTTGAAAGAGCAGTGCAATTGCTACGTAACAGAGCAAGTAAACACAATGAAAGATTACGACCAAACATACTGCCAAGAACTTCTAAATTTTGTTAACGAAAGACTCAATGAGGAGGATGTCAGGAGTCTTCATCTCACGCCATTGTTCGAGCTGGATCTGAAGCTTCTACTACTGGGTCAAGCTGCCCCAGTCTTCCAGAAGAAGCACAATATTTTTTTTCAGGAAAACAATATGAAGTCCTACCTTGATAAAATAAAACCTCAGTACTTCTCCACATTTAAGAACGTCTACCAAGAAAAGGATGAGTCTAAAGCCAGAGCCCAGAAATTTTATGAGGCGTGCCTAAAGCCAGCTCTTTCAGACTATGTGTACAAACATTTGGGTGGTGAAATTGTGAACGACATACTGACCAGCAAAGATTCAATCAGGTACAGTAGTAGAACCTTCTTCCAATACACTTTGCTCAAAGAGCTTTTGGAAGACCACGATTTCACTCGTTACATAAAATACAACAACCAATACGAGACCTTTGTAAAAAACTGGATTGTCAAATTTATCACCAATAAATACAAGGATTCCACCTCCCTGGAAACATTAAAGTCAAATATTCTTGCAAGAATCTTGAGAAAGGTAAGACAAGCCCTCAAAGATCCAAGAGTACGAGAAACCTCTAATGTTTCCCAGTGTTTAAAAACATTTTGCACAATATTAAAGAAAGATTTGGTCATTGTGCAGAACGAGATGAAAGTGATTACATTTCAAAACAACGCAAGTCCTGTCCAGTTTTCAGCTGACATTGAAGAGTTCCTGGAAGGTGTCGAGAAAGAAATGATCACCGAAATCAAACATTTTACTATTGAATACGTGATGAACAAGAAAACCTTTAAACCACAAGATGTATTGTTTAGGAAGATCTTTGGGTGCGGTAATCAGTGTCCATTCTGTAAAGCCCCCTGTGAGGCCGGAGCCGCTAATCACAAGGAGCACTTTGCATCAGTCCATCGGCCTCAAGGTTTAGGAACGTACCGCTATACAGAATCCAAAACGCTCTCACATTCAATATGTACCACCGACGTGGTTGGAAATACAACGTTTCTAAATTCAGACACTGACTGGAAGCCATGCCTTTACAAAGAATACCGCAAAATTTATCCCGACTGGACAATACAGCCCGATGCCACCATTGGATCCTCCAATTACTGGAAATATGTCTTCAAGGAGTTTAATAAACAGTTTTCAGATTACTACAATGCTAAACCAGCTGGCCTACCAGAGGACTGGTATGTTATCACCAAAGAACAGGCTCTTCAAAATCTAAAGGAATCTTTCAACATGAACTAAATGGCAACGTATTATCTGATTGTACATTCCAATCAAACAGGACGAATAACAAGGGAATTAGTAAAAAGATAGAGCCTACCAGGACATTTCTTTTTCATCCTGGCAATTCTTGGGTGCACAGGTCAATCTGGACTGTAAGATTTTGTGGTTGCTGGTGGCCTGGTACTCTGGGAACACCTAATGTAAAATATATGCTTGTGCAGGCGAAAAATTCCAAGCTCTTCCATCAGTCTCACTACAAGCTAATTACCAGTCATTCAAAGAGAAATAATTCATACCCTACCAATACCCAACCACACTCTACAGTAGAAGAATGACGTATTGAGGAGAAAGTGGCAAGAGGCTGCAGTCCCTGACTCTGGAAGCCTTGAAAGCCTTGCTTAGACCAGCTGGATAAAACTACATACAATTCAAATTTATTGAGCACATGGGCAGAAAATGTGAAGCGTGTGGAAAAATGCCTACAACCACCATGAACACCATGAAAAATGCCTACAACCACCATGAGCACCATGAAAAAAATTCCTACAACCACCATGAACACCATGCAAAATGCCTACAACCACCATGAGCACCATGAAAAATTCCTACAACCACCATGAACACCATAAAATGCCTACAACCACCATGAAAAATGCCTACAACCACCATGAGCACCATGAAAAATGCCTACAACTACCATGAACACTGTGAACAATTCCAAGATGTTTTAAATTCTTTGTATGTGACATACTAAAAGTAGTGGTTGCACACTGCTCAAACCCATCACTCATTGTGCGACCACAAATAAATTCCCTGTTTTTTGTAGGCTTAAACATACAAAAGTGACTGGGAAAATCCAAAACTTTGAGGAGCAAAGGAGTTCAGAGACAAGGCAGGAGGATCTTGCTGTTGGGTTTTCTGAGACATAATGGAAGCCTAAAAAAAAAAAAAATCACTTTTGGGTGGACCGATCCACCGGATTATTTCATTTATCAAACTCTATTAAATATCATGCTCTGTAACACTGTGAGTGAGGTCAGACAATGGCAGCTTCCGGCAGATAGGGATTCAGCTATTGAGGGGCCATTTGAAGGACATTTGGTTCTTTTCTCATTATGAGCTACAGCAATGCCTACAATCAACGATGCAGCTGAGAGACCGAAGAAGAGAGCAACTGGAGGATAGAAAGGTGGACAAAACTGCATCATACATAACGGCTGTTATTACTGCAACCAATGATAGCAGGACAATGTCTAGAATGATGTTTTCTAAAGACTTTGTAGAGTCATATCCCCTTTAATGACAATCCATTCCAAAAAGGCGTATTTAAGTTGTTGGATACATTCACCTTCTTCCAGTCTAAGCTGCACGGGGCCCGTAAGATGCCGATACCAAGTTAAATTCTGGTACTTGAAGTGCTTGAAAAAGAAAAAAATGAATGATGTATTTATGAATACAGAGCTGCATTAATTTGTCTTTTCTACCTAGCTGGAGTTCAGATTTATGGTGGATTCAACCCATTCAGGTACTTAAAGTGCTTGAATTAAAATAAATACATTTAATGATGTGTATAGGAATACAAGTCGTGTCTTTTATATCTGTCTGGAGTCCAGCTTTAAGGTGAATTCAAACACATTTGGCACCCATATTCTAGAACCTTATACTTTTTTTTAAATCCAAGTAGCTTTTATTGAAGTATTTTTGCAAGTCAAACAGCTTAGCATCAAATAGAAGAGCCTTATACTTAATTAAAGGGAGAATTCACCAAATGTGGAAGGTAGACTGAGGGTTGGTCCTGTCACTTCAACCACTTCCAGTCCGGCCAATGTACATAAATGTCTAGAAGGGAGCAGTGCAGGAGCCGGTGGCCGTTTATAAACGTCCTCCTGCGTCCCAGCTTGTGCACGCTCCCTGGGACACAGCGGAACACCGATCACTGTACGGGACCTCTGTGTGAGGTCCCGATCATGTGATTACTGATTGGCCAATCAGTGATCACATGCAGAGTAGTAAGCAAGATGTCACTTGTGACATCATTGCTTACTACGTGTGAAATCTGTGAATGATCACAGAGGTCACATGGTACAGAGCCATTCACAACAGCCTTGTATTATGTGACAAGCTGTGACCAATCACAGCTCACACAGTAGTTCTCAATGGCTGCAAGAATGCAGCCAGAGAGAAGGAGAAATGATTGCTTTTATAGCCTTTATGTGTATAAAAGCAATCAGTGTGAAAAAAAAAAAATCTTCATCGCCTTCCACAAATAGTAGTGTCACCATGGTGACACTGTACTGCTAGGGTGAAAGTATGTTAAAAAAAATAAATAATAATATAAAAAAAATAAAATAAAAATGTAAAACAAAATTTTGAAAAATTATAATTTTTGGTTATAAACTAATTTGGGCTATTTTTTTTTTTTTTTTTTTACTAAAAAGATAGCTGAATAAATTTTGTCCAAGATGTATGAAGAAAGATTATTTATTTGCAAAATTTTATAAAAACACCTTTTTTCAAAATTTTGGACTTTTTCATTTATATAGCAAAAAAAAAATAAAATCCAGTGGTGCACAAATACCAGCAAAATAAATGTAAAAAATTCATATGGGTACAGTGTTGCATGACCGCGTAATTGTCATTCAAAGTGTGATAGCACTGAAAGCTGAAAATTGGCCTGGACTGGAAGGGGGGGTGAAAGTGTCCGGACTGGAAGGGGGTGAAAGTGTCCGGACTGGGAGGGGGTGAAAGTGTCCGGACTGGGAGGGGGTGAAAGTGTCCGGACTGGAAGGGGGGTGAAAGTGTCCGGACTGGGAGGGGGTGAAAGTGTCCGGACTGGAAGGGGGGGAAAGTATCCAGACTGGGAGGGGGTGAAAGGTCCGGACTGGGAGGGGGTGAAAGTGTCCGGACTGGAAGGGGGGGAAAGTATCCAGACTGGGAGGGGGTGAAAGTGTCCAGACTGGAGGGGGGTGAAAGTGTCCGGACTGGAAGGGGGGGGGGAAAGTGTCCGGACTGGAAGGGGGGGAAAGTGTCCGGACTGGGAGGGGGTGAAAGTGTCCGGACTGGAGGTGGTTAAAGTGATATTAAAGGTTCCATTTTTTTTTCTCATTAAAATAACAAACATGTCATACTTGCTCTGTGTAATGGTTTGGCACAGAGCAGTCTTGATTCTCTTTTCGGGTCCCCTGCCAGTGCGCCTAGCTCCCCCCCTCCACGCCAAGTGTCCCCATAGAAAGCCACTTCCTATGGGGGCATTGGTACAGGCTCGTTCCTGAGCCGGGTTGTTTGCATCTATTCAAAAAGAACACAGCCTGGCTCAGCCCCCTGCTCACAGGTGTTGACAACCAATGGCTCCTGCTGGTCTCAGCCGAGCAGATGAGAGCTGGGAAGGGGGAGAAGAGCTGCTTTAGAAGTGTCCAGCGCTAGACCGAGATTGGGCTCAGGTAAGTAGGTAGGGGGGCTGCGAGGGTGGTAGGAAACTCTTCATTTGTATTTAACCTACAGGTAAGCATATAATAAAGTGTACATGTAGGTTAAATGAATATCTTCCAAACTCGCCCCATTTAGGAGATATTCTAGTAAGCAGAAGCTTGACGGCTTGTGCAGTGACATCACCGGCACATGCGTGTTAAAGGAAAGGCATACCCATGCCGTTCCTTCAGGGCTCTGTGCTGCAGTCTGCAAGACCGGAAAGAAGATGGGTAGAGATGGAAGCCTCTGCAGTAGTGACAGCGCACCGCTGGGGGGCTTCGTTTTAAGGTATTTCATGGTGTGCCAGTTTGCTGTGCATACTGGATGGGCGCCAAGAAAGAAAAATTACCGTAAGTAGTCGATACCATTTTGCCGGTGCCAACACGGCCCATAATACCACACGTATGCTACCATGGGCTGGCATCATGAAAGAAAAATTACTTATTAATATATTACTTATTATTTGATACAATTTTTAATACAATTTTCAATTTTAAGAGCATCCATTGTTTGTGGGAGGTGACCAGCTTCAAGGCTGCAGATTCCAAAAAAAAAGGTCTAGGGGGTATAATGTGTATATTGTATCTCTTCTCACTATACACACATATATACACACACACAGTTATGGCCAAAAATCTTGCCCCCCCCCCCCCTGCATTTCTGTCAGATAACGCACCGCTTCACCCAGAAAATTGCTGCGATGATAAATGTTTCAGCATTCTTGTGTCTATTGCTTTTGTTTGTATTGGTATGACACGAAAAAGTCGAGAAACAAAAAAGCCAAATCTGACACATTCCACGCAAAACCCCAAAAATGGACTGGACAAAATTATTGACACCCTCTTTAATATTTGGTAGCACGCTTCCTTGAAAAAAATAACTGAAATCAATGGTTTACTGTAACCATTAATTAATTTCTTCCACCTCTCTACTGGAATTTTGGATCGCTCTTCTTTCTCCAACGGCTCCAGGTCTCTCAGATTGGAAGGGTTCCTTTTCCCAAGTGCTGTTCTGAGATCTCTCCACAGGAGCTCTATGGGATGGAGATCTGGACTCATTGCTGGCCAGTTCAGTCCTCTCCAGCGCTTTCTCTGAAACCATTTCTGGGGGCTTTTTGATGTGTGTTTTGGGTCATTGTCCTGCTGGAAGACCCATGACCTCTGATGGAGACCCAACTATCTGACACCGGGCCCTACATTGCACCCCAGAATTCTTTGGTAGTCTTCAGATTTCATAATGCCATGCACACGGCCAAGACATCTAGTGCTTGAAGCAGCAAAGCAACCCCAAACCATCAGTGACCCCCCAAGGCCTTATTGCTTTTTCTGAAAACAGTAAAATGATGAGCTTTACCAGAAAGTTGGAATTTTGTTTTGTCTGTACACAGCACATTCTCCCAAAAGGATTTCGGCTTCCTTGGGTAAGATTTGTCAAACTCCAATCTGACTTTTTGATGTTTTCTGTGTCAGCAGTGGGGTCCTCCTGGGTCTCCTCCCATATTTTTGTGTCAGCAGTGGGGTCCTCCTGGGTCTCCTCCCATATTTCTGTGTCAGCAGTGAGGTCCTCCTGGGTCTCCTCCCATATTTTTGTGTCAACAGTGGGGTCCTCCTGGGTCTGCTACCATATTTCTGTGTCAGCGGTGGGGTCCTCCTGGTCTTTCACCATATTTCTGTGTCAGCAGTGGGGTCCTCCTGGGTCTCCTCCCATATTTCTGTGTCAGCAGTGAGGTCCTCCTGGGTCTCCTCCCATATTTCTGTGTCAGCAGTGGGGTCCTCCTGGGTCTGCTACCATATTTCTGTGTCAGCGGTGGGGTCCTCCTGGGTCTTTCACCATATTTCTGTGTCAGCAGTGAGGTCCTCCTGGGTCTCCTCCCATATTTCTGTGTCAGCAGTGGGGTCCTCCTGGGTCTCCCACCATATTTCTGTGTCAGCAGTGGGGCCCTCCTGGGTCTCCCACCATATTTTTGTGTCAGCAGTGGGGTCCTCCTGGGTCTCCTCCCATATTTCTGTGTCAGCAGTGAGGTCCTCCTGGGTCTCCTACCATATTTCTGTCAGCAGTCGGGTCCTCCTGGGTCTCCTACCATAGTGTCCCTTTTCATTCAGATGGTGACGTATAGTGCGAGCCGACACAGTTGCACCCTATGCCTGAAGGTCAGCATGAATTTGTATGGAAGTTGATGGAGGTTCTTTATCTACCATTCAGACAATCCCTCATTGCAATCTTTGATCGATTTATCTCTTTCATCCACGTCCAGGGAGATTAGCTACAGTGCCATGGGCTGGAAAACTTCTGACAATGTTGTGCACAGTGGACACAAGAAGTTTAAGATCTGTTAATTGATACAGGTAGGTTTAATTACAAATTACAGGACCAACACAAACTTGGAATGCAATTATTTCTTACAATTTTGGGAAGGTACAAATAATTTTGTCCACTCCATTTTTGGAGTTTTGCATGGAATGTGTCAGATTTGGCTTTTGGTTTCTCCACCTTTTTTGGGTCATACCAATACAAAGAACAGAAATAAACATGAGAATGCCGAAACATTTGTAATTGCAACAATTTTCATTCAAATGCAGGGTGCCAATATTTTTGGCCATGACTGTATATACGTGTGTGTGTATATATATATATATATATATATATAATATATATATATATCTCCTATACCTGTTACCAAGTGGTAGTTTGCATAAAGAACAAGAAATTCCGTAGGTAGGAAAAGGCCCAAAAACTAGGCGAGGACTTCCAGAGTTAGCTCTGTAAGGGCATGTTCAAACCAACAGACATGTTTCACGGTGCCATAACATGTACAACACTGGTGTGCATTGGCCAAGCAACCTTTGGTGCATCACAGTGCTTTTTTCCCCAACTTTATTTAAACGACACGTTACATTTGTTATAAAGCACTCTGTTACGATGGCAATGCACACCGATGTAGCACAATGATGTGAACAATCCCTATGCATGGCAAGGTTTTTTGCCTTTGCTTTTCCAATGGAACTGTGTTTGGCAACCCTGCCAATCAGTGCAAAATTTTGGGTGCGGTGACCCCTGTAATAAAAATCATTGTGTCAGACTTTTGTATTCTGATGTAGACAAAGGAAGGAAGACATAATGTAAAACAACCAATTTATTGGAAGACAACGCAAGGCTCGGAATGGTCGAGGTACAGGATATCCCTTTTCTCTGAAGGCACCTAGCGGCAAAAATGATCCACAGACAAGTTTGCTCATTGGCTTCAATCTTCCCAAAATTTCACCGTCATCCCTAGAAAGGTCCTTGTATCTGGCGGAACATTTCAGATGGATCCACTCTAGTCATCCTGAACCATGAAAGGCTAAGAAACCTTTTAAAAAAAATTTTGATTTCTATAAAAATTGTAATACTGTTAATTAAAAATTCCTGAGTGTGTCAATGCAGACATAATGCAGAAAGCCATCACGAAGGCCACGCCCTGTTAGTGCGTCTTGCGCTTGTTCTTCTTCTTCTTCTGAGGCTTGGCGGTGAGGTAGCGCAGTCGCACCGCGTTCAGCAGCAGCAGGGAGAAGTTTAGGACATATGTCGTGATGCAGATGACGCAGAAGTCCTCCAGGATGTAGAAGAGGACGTAGGCCAGGTAGAGGGAGCCGGCAATGGACACCAGTGATGTCACTAGGAGGGTGGCAGCCGCGGCCACTGAAGACACAAATCCTGAAGAGGGGAAAAAAGTATTAGCAGCAAGCAAGAGTAAAGGATCCTCTCTTGTATTGAATTCTCTGATTTCACTGCACACTGTGAGTTTCTCACAATGTGTATTAGAAGCTTAAGCAAGTCAAGTAGAGCCCACCTCATTTCCTGGCCGTAGGATTTCCAGCATCATTTATACATTCCTCCCCAGCTTGACTGTCCCTGGACCGCCCCGTTCATTCCTTGGATTTCAGATCTATCAATCATGGAGGCTCAGTATCAGCTGTGGGCGGTCTGCATGCAAATACAGCCTGCCTAGGAACACCCACTGCTCTACACTGACACCCACCCATCAAAGTTTTTTGATATTTTAACTCCTCCAGAGATATATTATTAATTCCCCTGATGAAGCCACGTGACCAGTGGCGTAACGCGTAGGGGAGGGGCTTTGACGTCACGGCGCTCGATGGTACCATACGAACACCAGTGGGCAATTTTAGGATTTTCACCTGTGAAAAGGTTCTGGAGGACACATTTTGTGCACAAAGCGGTCTTAACAGAGTAAATGTGAGTGCATTACTTTTATTAATAAAAAACTGTTTTTAAAGGGTAATACAATATGATTTGATTTATTCCTCTATAATAACCACCCTGGAAGGGGAGCCCATCGGTTGAGTGGAGGAGGACCCCAAGCAGCAGGATACCATCCCATCCATACTTTGGCCCATTTAAATATATATATCTGGGCAAGAACAGGATGGGCTCTTGTAGACGCTGTCTGGCCAAGAACAGGATGGGCTCTTGTAGACGCTGACTGGCCAAGAACAGGATGAGCTCTTGTAGACATTGACTGGCCAAGAACAAAATGGGCTCTTGTAGACAATGACTGGCCAAGAACAAAATGGGCTCTTGTAGACATTGACTGGCCAAGAACAGGATGGGCTCTTGTAGACATTGACTGGACAAGAACAGGATGGGCTCTTGTAGACATTGACTGGCCAAGAACAGGATGGGCTCTTGTAGACGCTGACTGGCCAAGAACTAGATGGGCTCTTGTAGACGCTGACTGGCCAAGAACAGGACGGGCTCTTGTAGACGCTGACTGGCCAAGAACAGGACGGGCTCTTGTACACGCTGACTGGCCAAGAACAGGACGGGCTCTTGTACACGCTGACTGGCCAAGAACAGGACGGGCTCTTGTAGACGCTGACTGGCCAAGAACAGGACGGGCTCTTGTAGACGCTGACTGGCCAAGAACAGGACGGGCTCTTGTAGACGCTGACTGGCCAAGAACAGGACGGGCTCTTGTAGACGCTGACTGGCCAAGAACAGGACGGGCTCTTGTAGACGCTGACTGGCCAAGAACAGGACGGGCTCTTGTAGACGCTGACTGGCCAAGAACAGGACGGGCTCTTGTAGACGCTGACTGGCCAAGAACAGGACGGGCTCTTGTAGACGCTGACTGGCCAAGAACAGGACGGGCTCTTGTAGACGCTGACTGGCCAAGAACAGGACGGGCTCTTGCAGACGCTGACTGGCCAGAACAGGACGGGCTCTTGCAGACGCTGACTGGCCAAGAACAGGATGGGCTCTTGCAGACGCTGACTGGCCAAGAACAGGATGGGCTCTTGTACACGCTGACTGGCCAATAACAGGATGGGCTCTTGTAGATGCTGACTGGCCAAGAACTATATGGGCTCTTGTAGACGCTGACTGGCCAAGAACAGGATGGGCTCTTGTAGACATTGACTGGCCAAGAACAGGATGGGCTCTTGTACACGCTGACTGGCCAAGAACAGGACGGGCTCTTGTAGACGCTGACTGGCCAAGAACAGGACGGGCTCTTGTAGACGCTGACTGGCCAAGAACAGGACGGGCTCTTGTAGACGCTGACTGGCCAAGAACAGGATGGGCTCTTGTACACGCTGACTGGCCAATAACAGGATGGGCTCTTGTAGATGCTGACTGGCCAAGAACAAGATGGGCTCTTGTAGACGCTGACTGGCCAAGAACAGGATGGGCTCTTGTAGACGCTGACTGGCCAAGAACAGGATGGGCTCTTGTAGACATTGACTGGCCAAGAACAGGATGGGCTCTTGTACACGCTGACTGGCCAAGAACAGGACGGGCTCTTGTAGACGCTGACTGGCCAAGAACAGGACGGGCTCTTGTAGACGCTGACTGGCCAAGAACAGGACGGGCTCTTGTAGACGCTGACTGGCCAAGAACAGGACGGGCTCTTGTAGACGCTGACTGGCCAAGAACAGGACGGGCTCTTGTAGACGCTGACTGGCCAAGAACAGGATGGGCTCTTGTAGACGCTGACTGGCCAAGAACAGGACGGGCTCTTGTAGACGCTGACTGGCCAATAACAGGATGGGCTCTTGTAGATGCTGACTGGCCAAGAACTATATGGGCTCTTGTAGACGCTGACTGGCCAAGAACAAGATGGGCTCTTGTAGACGCTGACTGGCCAAGAACAGGATGGGCTCTTGTAGACGCTGACTGGCCAAGAACAGGATGGGCTCTTGTAGACGCTGACTGGCCAAGAACAGGATGGGCTCTTGTAGACGCTGACTGGCCAAGAACAGGATGGGCTCTTGTAGACGCTGTCTGGCCAAGAACAGGATGGGCTCTTGTAGACACTGACTGGCCAAGAACAGGATGGGTTATTGTAGATGTTGATTGTTTAAGAACAGGATGGTTACCAAACATCTACACATTTCCTGGAGAATGGATTAGGTCCCTGTGCTACCTGTGTGCTCTGGTCATAAATGGTGGCTAATGTCCTGACACTCATTAGAACTGAAGGAATATTTTGGACAAACTACGAAACATCCTCAATATTACAAAACAAGTCCAGTTGAACGTGACCTACTCCCACTAGACGATGGACAGGATTGGTTACCAACTGTCCCCAATTGTTTGCCAATTATTTGTTTTCTTTCAGTGCAGCTCTACGTACAAACAGAACAGATTGTGTATTTGTGGTTGAATGACGAAGGTTGTAGGATCTCGGTCTGGAGTCTCAATAAAGCTTTCCCATCCAGAATGTGGTGGTATAGGAGGATTATCTGATATATGAAACACAACTATTGATCCCGAGTTATACATGACAACGCCCTCCTGACTGTACTTATTAGAACACATTTTGGCGTGCAGTTTCCTTCTTGATGTCATGACCTACAGCTCAGCAGCAGGTAAGAAGCCTGGATGAAGGTTGGGTCAGGGTATGCCTGTAGCAACAAACGTGGAATAATGATAGGGCGCGCTGTGTTCTCATCGGATTCCCCAACACTCACCAAGCGCTATCTGTAGGACGTAGAATAAGATTCCAAACACGCTATTGGGCTGATTGAGGAGACTCTGTGCTCCCAAAATACCTTCAACCAATCCGAAGCCACGACCCCACCTGGAAGAGATGGGAAAAAGATTTTATATAAAGCCGACAATAACAGCACAAAATCATAAATTATTACACATCCTACACGTCCTCTACGGAGCGCACACCCGGCCCAGGGGTGGTCTCTACGGAAGGGCGCGTGCCTCAGGGGTGGTCTCTACGGAAGGGCGCGTGCCTCAGGGGTGGTCTCTACGGAAGGGCGCGTGCCTCAGGGGTGGTCTCTACGGAAGGGCGCGTGCCTCAGGGGTGGTCTCTACGGAAGGGCGCGTGCCTCAGGGGTGGTCTCTACGGAAGGGCGCGTGCCTCAGGGGTGGTCTCTACGGAAGGGCGCGTGCCTCAGGGGTGGTCTCTACGGAAGGGCGCGTGCCTCAGGGGTGGTCTCTACGGAAGGGCGCGTGCCCATCCCATGGGTGAGCCCTGGTATGATCTCTATGGGTCGCGAACCCACCCCAGGGGGGTGGTCTCTATGGAGCTCATGGATCTCCATATAGTACAGATCACATACACACACTGACCTGGAGGTGATCCCCAAACAATTATTCCTATACACCGACCTGGAGGTGATCCCTATACACCGACCTGGAGGTGATCCCTATACCCTGATCCCTATACACCGACCTGGAGGTGATCCCTATACCCTGATCCCTATACACCGACCTGGAGGTGATCCCTATACCCTGATCCCTATACACCGACCTGGAGGTGATCCCTATACCCTGATCCCTATACACCGACCTGGAGTTGATCCCTATACACCGATCTGGAGGTGATCCCCATACACCGATCCCTATTCCCTGACCTGGAGGTGATCCCCAAACAATTATCCCTATACACCGACCTGGAGGTGATCCCTATACACCGACCTGGAGGTGATCCCTATACCCTGATCCCTATACACCGACCTGGAGGTGATCCCTATACCCTGATCCCTATACACCGACCTGGAGGTGTGATCCCTATACCCTGATCCCTATGCACCGACCTGGAGTTGATCCCTATACACCGATCTGGAGGTGATCCCCATACACCGATCCCTATACCCTGACCTGGAGGTGATCCCCAAACAATTATCCCTATACACCGACCTGGAGGTGATCCCTATACACCGACCTGGAGGTGATCCCTATACACCGATCCCTATACACCGACCTGGAGGTGATCCCTATACACCGATCCCTATACACCGACCTGGAGGTGATCCCTATACACCGATCCCTATACACCGACCTGGAGGTGATCCCTATACACCGATCTGGAGGTGATTTCTATACCCTGATCCCTATACACCAACCTGGAGGTGATCCCTATACCCCAATCTGGAGGTGATCCCCATACACCGATCCCTATACATCGACCTGGAGGTGATCCCTATACGCCGACCTGGAGGTGATCCCTATACGCCGACCTGGAGGTGATCCCTATACGCCGACCTGGAGGTGATCCCTACACCCCGACCTGGAGGTGATCCCTATACCCCGACCTGGAGGTGATCCCTATACCCCGACCTGGAGGTGATCCCTATACCCCGACCCCTATACACAGACCTGGAGGTGATCCCTATACACAGACCTGGAGGTGATCCCTATACACAGACCTGGAGGTGATCCCTATACACAGACCTGGAGGTGATCCCTATACACAGACCTGGAGGTGATCCCTATACCCCGACCTGGAGGTGATCCCTATACACAGACCTGGAGGTGATCCCTATACACAGACCTGGAGGTGATCCCTATACACAGACCTGGAGGTGATCCCTATACACCGACCTGGAGGTGATCCCTATACCCCGATCCCTATACACAGACCTGGAGGTGATCCCTATACACCGACCTGGAGGTGATCCCTATACCCCGATCCCTATACACAGACCTGGAGGTGATCCCTATACACAGACCTGGAGGTGATCCCTATACACCGATCCCTATACCCCGACCTGGAGGTGATCCTTATACGCCGACCTGGAGGTGATCCCTATACGCCGACCTGGAGGTGATCCCTATACGCCGACCTGGAGGTGATCCCTATACGCCGACCTGGAGGTGATCCCTATACGCCGACCTGGAGGTGATCCCTATACGCCGACCTGGAGGTGATCCCTATACGCCGACCTGGAGGTGATCCCTATACCCCGACCTGGAGGTGATCCCTATACCCCGACCTGGAGGTGATCCCTATACCCCGACCTGGAGGTGATCCCTATACCCCGATCCCTATACACAGACCTGGAGGTGATCCCTATACACAGACCTGGAGGTGATCCCTATACACAGACCTGGAGGTGATCCCTATACACAGACCTGGAGGTGATCCCTATACACAGACCTGGAGGTGATCCCTATACCCCGATCCCTATACACAGACCTGGAGGTGATCCCTATACACAGACCTGGAGGTGATCCCTATACACCGATCCCTATACCCCGACCTGGAGGTGATCCCTATACGCCGACTGGAGGTGATCCCTATACGCCGACCTGGAGGTGATCCCTATACCCCGACCTGGAGGTGATCCCTATACCCCGACCTGGAGGTGATCCCTATACCCCGACCTGGAGGTGATCCCTATACCCCGACCTGGAGGTGATCCCTATACCCCGATCCCTATACACAGACCTGGAGGTGATCCCTATACACAGACCTGGAGGTGATCCCTATACCCCGATCCCTATACACAGACCTGGAGGTGATCCCTATACACAGACCTGGAGGTGATCCCTATACACAGACCTGGAGGTGATCCCTATACCCCGACCTGGAGGTGATCCCTATACCCCGACCTGGAGGTGATCCCTATACCCCGACCTGGAGGTGATCCCTATACACTGATCCCTATACACAGACCTGGAGGTGATCCCTATACACCGACCTGGAGGTGATCCCCATACACCGATCCCTATACACCGACCTGGAGGTGATCCCTATACACCGACCTGGAGGTGATCCCTATACACAGACCAGACCTGGAGGTGATCCCTATACCCCGACCTGGAGGTGATCCCTATACACAGACCTGGAGGTGATCCCTATACCCCGACCTGGAGGTGATCCCTATACCCCGATCCCTATACACAGACCTGGAGGTGATCCCCATACACCGACCTGGAGGTGATCCCTATACACCGACCTGGAGGTGAAGACCTTGGAGCAGCTGATGTCGGGGTTGATGTCACACAGGGCGGTGTATTCCGGGTCTCTCTCCCGGGAAGTCTCCACATGGTAGGCGTACACCGACAGCCCGATCCCGGTCACACACAGCGCTGCCCTCACCGCCCGCTCCCAGCCCGGCTCCATCCTCCTCCGATCACCGCTGACGTGTCCCGCCTGTCCGGCCCCGCCCACCTACTACATGACTGGAGGAGGAGGAGGAAGAGGCGGGGACAAGGGGGAGGAGCGCAGAGACCGTGTGTGCAAGTTTCACCTACAGGGGGCGGGGCCGATCCGACACTGCATTGTATCCATGACAGGGGGCGGGGCAGAGACTGCAGCCAATCCATTGTCTCCGTCCCTGGATGCGGCGAGCACTGCAGACGATACAGAGAATCACATTCATACAATGTATCCGTACAGAGGGAGGAGAACAATGGGGGAGGAGAACAATGGGGGAGGAGTACAATGGGGGAGGAGTACAATGTATGCCTCGCAGACTGACAACTCATGGGGCCCCCGGGCAATAGGGGATCATGGGGCCCCTGTGTCCTTGCCCAAATTCAAAAAAGCCTATGAAAAAGGTACCAGGGGCATCTCATGGGGCCCCCTACTGACCCCTGCCCTCGGGCAGTGACCGGGTTTCCAAATGGTCAGTCCGCCCCTGGTCCAGACTAATCAGGAACGTGTCAGTAAGATCGGTCAGTGAAGCCGTACGCATTGTCCTGACCATTCCCAGATCCCTTCATATTATCTGTCAGGGATTCTTCCATCAAACTGCCACCCTAGAGCTGCCCATACACTGTACAATCTCCCATAGATCTGCTCTATAGTACGAGGACCCGCCTGGTGTGATTCATAGTTAATGGTGGATCTATAGGAGATTGTACAATCAGATTGTATAGATCAGGGGGAGGCAACCTTAACCTCTTCACGTCGGTGCCTCCAGGCCCTTTAAGCGTTTCAGAAGCCAAGAGGCTGGCAGGGTTTTAGGGTCATGTGACCGCCGGCACGGTGGTCACATGATCGGAAAAGGTCCCGATCGAAAGGGGAAATCGGGACCTTTCCGTAAGCCGTGGCCATATGTGTTGGGAGCGCTCAGGGCGCATGCTCTCAGCACGTATGTATTTTCTAAATGCACGCAAATATGCAGCCGTTCGGCGTCAAGGGGTTAAAGAGGTGGAGATCTGCCTGAACACCACGGGAGAAATCCGAGATCTCCGGGCGCAGAGTCGCCTCCTTACACCAGATTTAACCTCCCTGGCGGTAACCCCGCGCTACACTCGGGCTTACCATGCGGCGTTGCTCAGGGAGTCCCTGCAGCGCTTACCTTGTCCTGCGCTCCCGCGATGTGTCCCCTGCAGCGTCCCCGGCCATCTCCTCCGGCTGATGCCGGCATCTGGCTTCTGTGTTCCGGTCCCTGTGACGTCGGGACGTACGGGCGCCGGCAGGAAATTTGATAATTTTAAAAAATTTCATTTTTTTCAAAAAAAAATTTACATAGCAAAACATTGCTGTTTCAACCCAATTCACATACATTTTGTCCCGAGTGCTTTGTCCGGCGCTCTGCCTGCAGAGAGGGGCAGTGGGACAAAAGGGGGTGGGGGGGAGTACAACAGGTGGGAGCAGTGGGTAAGGAGGGGGGCAGTGTCACTCGGATTACACACACCTTGCAAAGCACCAGTCCTCCCAGATGTCACCTGTCTGGCTCCTCCAGATGGTGTCAGTGGAGAGGACCTGGTGCCAAGAGGGGTAGCTGAACCTGCGTCCCATCTCCACCAGAATAACAGCAGCAGCTGCAACGCAGAGTGGGGGGTTCCTCCACCATGATCTCCTCGTCTTCCTCCTCCCCACGGGGCCCCCTGCCAGCACCCCCTGGCCTGACCAACACTGCACAGCCCGGCGCACACTGCCATTGCAGATCGGTGTCTGTCTGACCGCAGGCCCAAACCGCTCCCTGCACACACACTTGGGATCCTCCCACCACTCAACCCTCTGCATCCTGGCAGGCCCACTCCAACAGCAGCCGCCCCTCGTTAATGATGGGCCTGGTTGGGGCCTGAGCCCCCTACATGTGTATAGGCTGTCCCCCTCCCGATGGTGGCCCTGACCATGACGTAACCTATGACATTCAAACCTCAGCCTGCAAATGTATTTGAAGTATGAATGTTATCACAGAAAAAGGAAAAAATGTATGGAATAGCCCAATGGTGGACCATTTGCAGATCAAGAGGTGTCTACTGGAAGACATTGGTCATGTTTGTGTCTGGAACAAAAGGTCACAACCTCCAATTTTGGAGCAGTCTTTTAAGGTAAAGTGTTATTAAAGAAAAAGAAAGAATAAAAGTAAAAAAATGAAAAGTGTGGGTGGGGATGTATCTCAGTGTCAGAGCAACTGACTAAAGATCGAAGGTCCACCAAGAGGTCCACATTCCTAATTCTGGTGCAAGACATTGTAGGGGCCACGGCTGTGTTGGAAGCGAGGCTTCAAATGTTTGGCAAAAAAAAATAAATCTGAACTTAACATATAAGCTGGTTGAATTGTTCATTGTATTTACAATATACATTTCTTTGATTTAATGTACATTTCACTGATAATTCCTGTAAGAAACAGACAAAAAAAAAATAATTTCACAAAAAACTCCACAAGATAAATAAATATAAATTTTATTAACAATAACTGGAGACATTGCAGTGTCAGAAACAGGAGCACCACTGTATTTCAAGTCCTGGTTTACACTTGCGGCTGGTAAAAATAGGCAGCTGAGCCACAATTTTACTGCACTGCATGTGTCTATAGTATACGGTTCTCTCTGTCATGTGGCCTTGCAGATCCAGATAAGGAGTTCCTTCCACCTTAGGTACTTCCATAGGCGTCCCAGCTGTTGACACTATGGGGTCTATTTATTAAGGGCTAATTCACACTATGTGTGGTGACAGACGAGTTACGGTCACCCCACACAGTGTAAGTTTTGTACACATAAAATAAAGGTCTCTACAAAACAAACAAAAAAAAAAAAAAAAAAAAAAAAAAAAAAAAAAAAAGGAGCCATGTGATGCGCTGAATGGTGCACCACACTGCCCCCTACTGCAGCTGACAACGGAGAGCTGACAAAGTGAATTCACCCTAAAAACAAAACAAAAAAAAAAAAACCGAACACCTAAATGTTTGCGCAGTCATTGCAAATAATCCATGTAATGTATCTGCGTATTTTCTATGATGAACAGCTCCATCTAGTGTTCATTATGCAGTACTTCAGGGTTGTGGTAGTTCAAGAAAATACAGCATCATGGCCACTAGTTGGAGCTGATGCTCACAGGAAATGCACATATTGGACACATTGAAGAGATTATTCACCACAGATGTGCGAATGCTTTTCATAAAAAGACCCCCAAGGTTTCCAGCTGGGTGGAGCAGTTCCTCCAACTTGAATGCATATACAGAATTATAGGCACATGGAGAAGTTAGGAAAAGCTTTTGTCCAAGTTCGCTGGTGTGCCAGGAGGTTCAGCGCACCTTGGTCATAGGATATCGAAGGGGACCTGTCACTCATACATGATAAAAGTAGTATGAAGCAGTGGTCAACTTTGTAATTCTCTTCCTCTTCAGGGCCTTCAGCTGCATCTAATAAGTTTGTGGTGACTCTGATGTGCCTTCCTGACACCTTCCATGTCCAGTGAATGACAGGTACTCATGCGTGTTCCGAGAGCAGATAAACCCACAAAGGTGCGGGGTCACTGGTGTGAGCGGTAATGCCGTGATCGGTGCGCACACACAGAGAGCGGTGCGCGGTGCTGCAGCTCCTGGATCTGGTGCGGCAGAAGAGCGGACGTCCTGCCGACACAAATCACACACAAGGGTGCACTCCTGCTCCCCGTCATATTTCATCCTCTATTGCCATTCCATGCAAAAATAAAAGTCTGTACGCAAGCATAGACCTCTAATAACAATCCAGATCTGGCTCCTGGAGACGACCGGGCCCTCACCTATCAAGAGTGTCTGAAATAAGAACTGTCAGTGTTGCTCAAAGTAACCAATCAAACCACAATTCCCAGAAAATCTCCTCTTATAATTATATATGTCCATGCAATTAAATTTTTCACTTCAGCCCAGGGGCGGACTGACCATTTGGAAACTCAGGCACTGCCCAAGGGCCCGGGGTTAGTGGGGGACCCCATGAGATGCCTCTGGTACCTTTTTCATAGGCTTTTTTGAGTTTGGGCAAGAACACAGGGGCCCCATAATCCCCGATTGCCCGGGGGCCCCATGAGTTGTCAGTCCGCCCAGCTATTACCAAATATGTCCTGATACTCACCTGAAGGGCACCAGCTGAAATCAGGCTGGTAGTGGGAGGAGCTGCTCTTTAAGGGCTCACGTACACTCACGTTTAGGAGCTTTTCTGCATTTTTTTCAGCAGCCCCTGAACTCTCCCTAATGTTCTCCTCTGTGTCCGTGTACACATCGTCCTTTACAGGCAGTGGAGTTTACACTCGTTTTTTTTAAATGCAGAAGCCTTGCGTTCAGCAGTATATTATCAGCGTTTCATATGCCAAATGCTTGTAAACGCGGCTAACTGTGTTCATTGGCGTTTGTGTTTTAAATTTTTTTTAATTCTTCCATTTCCAGAAGCTGTCCAGAGCCTTTTTTCATCATGAAAAATGCATGCAAAGCATTTTCCCGGTACTCAAATGGACCCGGTCAGGGGCGGACTGACAACTCATGGGGCCCCCGGGCAACAGGGGATCATGGGGCCCCGGTGTCCACGCCCACACTCATACCACACCCAAAAAAAGCCTATGAAAAAGGTACCAGGGGCATCTCATGGGGCCCCCTACTGACCCCGGGCCCTCGGGCACTGCCCGAGTTTCCAAATGGTCAGTCCGCCCCTGGACCCGGTACACCATACATTGAGGTTTCCCATGAAAGAAAATACGTCAGACACTGCTGCAATAATTCCTGCACAGAAATGAGCCGGAACATCCAAACACCACAAAAAAAAAAAAAAAAAAAAAGGTCATCTCAACATATACTGCTCTCTCTGCTTCTGCTCTCTCTATTTCTCTCAAAATGTCTGAAATAGTTAATTTTTTACTGTTTTTCAGTGCATTCTGGGCATTTTGGAAGGTCTTCTGAGGTTATCTTAAAAAAAAAAAAACGCTTCTAAACGCATAAACGTGCATAAAATTGGTATGCAAACGCGGCTAAACAGAGGTTTTTTAACCTACGTTTTCCAGCAGTCAGTTTCCATCGTTCAGATGTGTCCCGTGTCCATGGATCCTTAGCGAATGGGTGGGATGTAAGCAGGGGCGGACTGACCATTTGGAAACTCGGGCACTGCCCGAGGGCCCGGGGTCAGTAGGGGGCCCCATGAGATGCCCCTGGTACCTTTTTCATAGGCTTTTTTGAGTTTGGGCAAGGACACAGGGGCTCCATGATCCCCTAGTGCCCGGGGGCCCCATGAGTTGTCAGTCCGCCCCTGGATGTAAGAAGTACCTAGGTGACCTTACAGGAGGGAAGGGCTATGGGTGGTGTCACCAGTGTGATGATGACCAATAAGGGGACACAGAGCTGACTGGAGGTGCTCCAGAGAAATGAAGTTGAGGGAGTTCTGAAGGGCTTCCATGACCTGTTCCTTCTAGTCTTTAGCAATCACGGATTTTACAGCGTCGTAAACTGCGTCTTTTTTTTTTTTAAACCTGCACATTGACATAATGTGCTAGTATGTATCGCATGTAGCAGCACATGTAGCATCGCACGTAGCATCACATACTAGCACATTATTAGTACTTACCTGTCACTGCTGACAAGGCTTCCATCTTCACCTGCTCTTCCTTCCGGGCTCATGTGCTCCGGCTTTATGACTGGCCGAGCCGTGATGACATCATCCCGCACATGGAGCGGGTGTTTCGGCAGCGGACGAACCTGTGAAGGGGCGGCATAGGCATCCCGTCCCTTCAGAGCGCATACGCCGGTGATGTCAGCGGCTGCATGTAGTGTGAATATCTCCTAAACCTTTTAATTAGGAGATATTCACTGTACAAGTTAAAGAAAGACTTTACTATCCCTTTAATAACTGCAAAGTGCCCTTTAAATCGATTGTAAACCTCAGACATGAAATATGAACAAAGCACAACCCTCTATAGTGTGTACTTGTCTCAATCCAGAGCACTAAATGTAATTTCTGTCTGCTGCTTCACTCCTCTGCTAACAACATGAATCACTTCTAACAAGTTTTCCCGACACCAAGAGAAAAAATGGTGACAGGGGAAGGAGCTCCATCAGATTGACAGCTTCAGCTCTGTTCCTGTGAGTTGTGAGAAGGGGGTGTCTCTTCCCTCCAATCAGCTCTCCTCAATGTGTAATTTCAGCTCTCTCCCCCCTTTTTTCTGAACTCTCAGACAAGATTTATAAATTCTACACAGATGTAGAGAAGAGAATGCTACAGATAAACAGGTACAACTTATGTGGGAGGATTTGTTTCATCTCTGTGTATCACCTGAGGCAAGTCGCTTCACTGGGTATAAAACCTGGGTAAGGGTTTACAACCACCTTAGGTCCCCCTATGCTCAATATTCATAGCTCTGATTGGTTGCTAGAGGCAGAGCAGACAGGTCTCATTACAGACACACAGGAGAAGCCAAGGCCCTGTCCCTCCACAGAGACCTTCGTCCCCATCCTGCGTGTCCTCAGCCGTCTTGGAGGTCGGGGATGTCGGAGAGGATCATGGGAGATCCCAGCTGCAGGTCCTCCTGGAGTGCGGTCAGGTCTGCGGGATTCATGCGATGAACTTCCAGCCAATCGGCTAAGAGAGATGCAGAAAGAGGGGCGGAGTCTACCAGGCTGAAAGAGACAGAGATGCTGCGTCAAGGAACAGATCTGCAAGTCTGGATGAATAAATCCCGGACATGTCATAATGAAAATTCTGATGACGGATGTGTGTATGGAATGGATGGATTGTAGGTCTGCACATATATGATGACACGCTAAACCCAGGAACACGGTCTGTGACATATCAACACACCAATACGAGGAGCTACACTAAACTACAATTGCAGTCAAAACTTTTTATGTTGGTTTGGATGGGCAGAAGAGGGTAAGAAAGTCGCTTTAATTGGCATCTGGAATGATCACACCCCCCTCAACTCGGGACCCCTCCAATGTTCTCAGTCTATTACACATCGTTCAACAGTCCTGATAAAGGGGGATTCATTGGCCCATTTAACTGTACAAAGCTTTGAAGAAGGACCCCTTTTTATAGTGCCTAACTCTGCTGAAGGGGGACCCACTGAACAGTACCCACACCCTGCTGAAGGGGACCCCCACTGAACAGTACCATACCCTGCTGAAGGGGGACCCACTGAAGAGTACAGGAGGACCCTTCAAGCTATAAAAAGCCCTAAAGAAGTGGGATCCTTTGACTCTTACCAAACTCTAATGAAGAGGAACCCATTGGACAGTACCAGGACCTTATGAAGGGGGACCCAGTGATCACTACCAACTGTTGAAGAAAGGGGAAATTTTGAACCCTATCAAGTCCTATCGAAGTGGGACCTTTTGAAATGTACCAAGCCCTGATGAAGGGGGACTCTCTGAACCACACTAAGCCCTGAAGAAGGACCCTCAGAACCATACCAAACCCTGATGAAGGGGAACCCTTCAAGCCATAACAAGCCCTGAACAAGGGGGAACCTTTGAATCATACCAAGTCCTGATGAAGGAGGACCCTTTGAAATGTACTAAGCCCTGATGAAGGAGAATCCTTTGAACCATACCAAGCCCTATAGAAAGAAGACCCTTTGAACTGTACTAAGCCCTGATATAGGAGGACCCTTTGAAGCGTACTAAGCCCTAACAAAGAGGACCCTTTGAACCAAACCAATCCCTTTAGAAGGAGGACCTTTTGATCCCTACTAAGACCTCATGAAGAAGGACCCTTTGAACCATACCAAGCCCTGAAGAAGGACCCTTGGAACCATACCAAGCCCTGAAGAAGGAGCATACCCTTGGAACCATACCAAGCCCTGAAGAAGGACCCTTGGAACCATATCAAGCCCTGATGAAGGAAGCCTTTGAACTGTAACAAACCCTGATGAAGGGGGACCCTTCAAGACGTAACAAGCCCTGAACAAGGGGGGACTTTTGAATCATACCAAGCCCTGATGAAGGGAGAACCCATTGAACAGTACCAAGACCTTATGAACGGGGACCCAATGAACAGTACCAAGCCTTGATGAAGGGGGATCTTTTGAACCGTTCTAAGCCCTTAAGAAGGAGGATGCTTTAAACCATACCAAGCCCTTAAGAAGTTAGAATCCTTTGAAGCATACCATGTCCCAATGAAAAAGGATCCTTTAGACCGTACCAGGCCTTGATGAAGGGGGACCCATTGAACAGTACCAAGCCCTGATGAAGGTGAATCTGTTGAACAATACCGAGCCTTGAATAACCCTCTTACCTTTCGCGGCTCTCTGACGCCATATCGAAGGACTGGTTGAGGAACTCCTCGAGATCAAAACCCAACCCATACCCAGCACCACTTCCTTTTGGTGTGACAGAGAAGACTGGGGGCAGGACATCCTCTACCTAGGAGTGTGCAGGGAAAAGCCATAGAAAAGAATGAGTTATAATTAACAGAAAAATGGGATAAGACAAGTTCTTCATTACAGACTGGAAAACCATTGACTCAATATACAACGCCATAGGGTAAAATTGGGTAAAAGTCAACAGATTTCTGCCTAAACACCATTTTTGAAGGATGGCCTGTACCCTACCTACGGAATCTCAAAGGTCTCACATTTTGAAGCAATTAAGGCCAATCCACTTTTGGGATCATGTTCGTGTTACACCCTTATTTAGGGGGTGTCAGAAAACACTGTCACATTCCCCAACCCCTTCCCCCACCTTCAAACTTCCCCAGGATCCGGGACTGGGAAGACTGCAAGTCCCATCCACCATCGTAGATGGACTTGTGTGGAAACAAATGCGGTGATATCACTGAACTTTCTACAGTCCCATAACAGAAGGTCTGTTCCTTCGTATGGACCTGAGGCTGAGGATAAACAATGCCGAGTCTGTGCACTGCACCCACGACATACTGATTGCAATTGCAATGTCCTGAATGCAAAATTCTACAAATGCACATTTATCGTTTTTTTCATTCAGGGTGCATTTATCACATTTTTTGGAAACAGCGGACTATGGCAAAATGTTCCCGGGGTCACAGAAAGCTGAAAGTCGCCTTGTGTGGGAGTGCGTAAAACATTCCCCACTGCCACCGCTCTATGACATACAGTGGTGGCAGATAAAGGGTTCATTTAAAGCTGAACTTTAACCCCTCGACCTCCAGATTTACCCCCCTTCCTGACCAGGCCATTTTTTGCGATACAGAGCTGCGTAAGTGACAATTGCACGGTCATGCAACACTGTACAGAAATTAAATTTGTGTCCTCTTTTCCCACTTTTTGGTGGTATTGGTCACCTCTGCATTTTCTTTTTTTTTTTGCGCTATAATCAAATACTGACAATTTTGAAAAAAAAAAATAAATATATTTTTGACTTTTTGCTATAAAACATATCCAATAAAAATTAAAAAAAAATTAAATTTTGTCATAATTTTAGGCCAAAATGTATTCTGCTCCGTGTCTGTGCTAAAAAAAAAAATCCCAATACGTGTAAATTAATTGGTTTATGTGAAAGTCATAGCATCTACAAATATACTGTATTTTTTTTTTTTTTTATTAATACTAGTAATGGCGGCGATCAGTGACCAGCGGGACTGCGGCAAGCATTCTGACACTGGGTGGGAACTAACTGCCACTGACATCTCCAGTGACACTAATACAGTAATCAATGCCAATAAAAAGCACTGACACTGTACTAATGACACCTGGGCAGAAGGGGTTAACATCTGGGGCCATCAAAGGGTCAACTGTGTGCTCAGTGTGTTTTACTATGTGTGCTGTTTTACAACGGAGACATGCTGCTTTGTGATTTCTCTGCTGGGCAGAGAAATACAAAACAGCATGTCCTTGCTGGCAGGAGAGTCTCTCTCCTGTCAGCTTTACTCGGTGATCACCGGGTGCCGGCGGGGAATCTCCAGCGGGACCCGGTGATTGACATCCCTAGCTGCCAATGGCGGCATGGAAATGAAAATCACGTATATATATATATACATGATTTTGCACAGCCCTGCCGCCCTGTAGCAGTAGTTTCTACTATAGGGCGGTGGCCAAGCGGTTAGTGCACCTTTGCAGTGCCCTCCTGGCACTGTACTGCAACAACGGAGGAGCAGCATTGTCAACCTAGGCTGCTCTCTTGAATGCAGAACACAATGATCAGTGCTGATGGCTATAGCCTGTGGTGCTGATCGGACAGCATTGATCCAACAGGTTGGTTGTACAGAAGTCGATCTACTGATGTCCCCATACATGGATCGAAGTTCAGCTGGTCCCTGCTGCACCGGACGAATTTCGATCCATGTATGGCCAGCTTTACAAAGACACTGGATTTCTACAGGATCAACCAGTATTTTCTCTACCTGCAGAAAATGTACTTACCCTATAAAAGGAAAACAAATGCGACCACCACATTCAAAGCCTGGTAGATCGCAATATATGACCTCTTTATTCTTGGGTTTAGGTATAGTGAGCTACAAACTGCAGTGATTGACGTTCCTACCTGAGACTTTGAGAACTGTTGGGTCACCAGGTTGATATCTGGAGAGATGGAGGTTGAGGGGTCAGCTGTGTTGAAGGTGGTGGGTCGGAGAGGTGTCAGATCTTGAGGCTTGGGCTCTTCTTGAACACGGCAATCCACCCCACCAGCGAACGTTATTCCAGGGACTTGTGTCGGTTGCTCAATGTCGGTGGGGTTGCGTAGAAAGAGCGCAGGATCCACAGTGACAGAGTTCCGCTTCCCATCTCCGATGTCGGTCGCTGGCCAGCTTTCCTGATGCCCCCCTCTGCTCCACGTTGGGTTAATCCTGGCATGTGCAGGGAAAGACCCAGGAAGAGCTTGCCCACTGGGAATAAACTTGACATCTTGGGGAAGCTGGCTGGCGATTGGAGGAGCCACCGGCTTCACTTGGGGAGCCAGCACCACAGGGGCAATCTGGAAGGCTGCCGGGGTGGGTGGCACATAATGGAGCAGGTTGGGCACAGGGCAGGGGTTCAGGCACCTTGGAATGAACTGGATATTTGGCGGGACAGCGGGTGCCGAGATGGTACCATTCTGCTGGCATCGGACCTCAGGAACTGGATTAATATTGGCCATGCCAAACGCCGTCTGTTGGGGAAGGGGCAGAGTCATGGTACTCATGTCTGGACATGGAGCTGGTTTTGGCACGGTTGGGTTTATAGGAGGCGGGGCCGGCTGGGGAAGCGGCTGTGGCTGCAGCTGTGTCTGGTCAATCATCCGTGTCCACCGTTCCAGAAGATTCTTGTCGTTTTCACTCAAAATCAACCCACTGAATCCCTCCGATTTTTCGCGGCGTTCCTTCTCTTTCTGCTTCTTCTCCTTCTCCCGGGCACGCTCCTGCCGCCGCCTCCTCTTTTCCTCCCTTTCACGCTGTCGCTCCTGTGCCGTTATTGGTTTCTTTATTTCAGGGGTCTCAGGAATGGAACTGGGGGCATCTACAAGACAGAAGACAGGAGCACAAGAATTAAGGACAACAGATGCTTTTATTATCTGGGTAAAGACAAGGAGTTGGGGCGTGTGCCCCCCTTATCACTGGGGTGCTTCCAGCAAGCAAGGCGTCACCCAAGTTTTATCTCTTTCCTGTCTCTGTGAAAAGCTGCAGCATGCAATGGCTCACCTTCAAGGCCCCTTCACCACAGCAGGGTCCAAATCACACCTACAGTGGGGATCGAAAGTTTGGGCACCCCAGCTAAAAATTTGTATTAATGTGCATAAAGAAGCCAAGGAAAGATGGAAAAATCTCCAAAAGGCATCAAATTGCAGATTAGACATTCTTATAATATGTCAACAAAAGTTAGATTTTATATCCATCATTTACACTTTGAAAATAACAGAAAACAATAAAATGGCGTCTGCAAAAGTTTGGGCACCCTGCAGAATTTATAGCATGCACTGCCCCCTTTGCAAAGCTGCCAGTGTCATGGATTGTTCTCAATCATCGTCTGGGCAGACCAGGTGATGTCAATCTCAAAGGTTTTAAATGCCCAGACTCATCTGACCTTGCCCCAACAATCAGCACCATGGGTTCTTCTAAGCAGTTGTCTAGAAAACTGAAACTGAAAATAGTTGACGCTCACAAAGCTGGAGAAGGCTATAAGAAGATAGCAAAGCGTTTTCAGATGTCAATATCCTCTGTTCGGAATGTAATTAAGAAATGGCAGTCATCAGGAACAGTGGAAGTTAAAGCAAGATCTGGAAGACCAAGAAAAATATCAGACAGAACAGCTCGCAGGTTTGTGAGAAAAACAATTCAAAACCCACGTTTGACTGCACGATCCCTCCAGAAAGATCTGGCAGACACTGGAGTTGTGGTCACTATTCCACTATAAAGAGATACTTGTACAAATATGGTCTTCATGGAAGAGTCATCAGAAGAAAACCTCTTCTACGTCCTCACCACAAAAATCATCGTTTGAACTTTGCAAATGAACATATAGACAAGCCTGATGCATTTTGGAAACAAGTTCTGTGGACCGATGAGGTTAAAATTGAACTTTTTGGCCGGAATGAGCAAAGGTACGTTTGGAGAAGAAGGGGCACAGTATTTAATGAAAAGAACCTCTGTCCAACTGTTAAGCATGGGGTTGGATCAATCATGCTTTGGGGTTGTGTTGCAGCCAGTGGCACAGGGAACATCTCACGAGTAGAAGGAAAAATGGATTCAATAAAATTTCAGCAAATTTTGGATGGTAACTTGATGCCATCTATGAAAAAGCTGAAGTTAAAGAGAGGATGGCTTCTCCAAATGGATAATGATCCTAAACACACCTCGAAATCCAGGGGGGATTACATCAAGAGACGTAAACTGAAGGTTTTGCCATGGCCTTCACAATCTCCTGACCTCAACATCATTGAAAATCTATGGATAGACCTTAAAAGAGCCGTGCGACAGACAGCCCAGAAATCTCAAAGAACTGGAAGACGTTTGTAAGGAAGAATGGCCAAAGATACCTCAAACAGGAATTGAAAGACTCTTGGCTGGCTACAAAAAGCGTTTACAAGCTGTGATACTTGCCAAAGGGGGCAGTACAAGATATTAACTCTGCAGGGGGCCCAAACTTTTGCAGAGGCCATTTTTTTGTTTTCGGTTATTTTGAAAGTGTAAATGATGGAAATAAAATCTAACTTTTGTTGACATATTATAAGAATGTCTAATCTGTAATTTGATGCCTTTTGGAGATTTTTCCATCTTTCCTTGGCTTCTTTATGCACATTAATACAAATTTTTAGCTGGGGTGCCCAAACTTTCGATCCCCACTGTAGGTGTTTTAATGCACAATAAAGCATGCCCAGGTTTGCCATTGTTTGTAAAGCGGGTCTACAGGCAAGCAACATAATCGGAAATATAGTCAGTTATGAGCAATCTGCATATAAACCATGCAGAATTCTCTTCAAAACAATCTAGTTTTCAGCTTTTGTTTTGGTTCCTGCAAATTAGTGCCATGGAATTCAGCCACTTTGTGCAAAGTGAAGGCTCACTATGAGTTAAGTCCAAGGAGCTGCATGACATCTCCTGGACTTACTTCTCCTACTTACATTTGATCGGTTTGGTGCCCCGAAGAGAGAATCACACACAGCAGCTATGCCCGTCCCTCTCCTCTGCTGCCCATTCACAGAAGGCTTTGTATTTTGTCAATGTGTTCTCATAATACCTAGGCTTCTGTGATTGGGCAGGAAGAGGGGAGGGGTGGGCATAACAGCTGCAGCTATTCTCCTGTTCAAGAGGCAGAGCTCAGAAGGATCAGCATCAGGCTCCTGGAACTACAGTGTTAGCCGTCTTCTGGGAATTCTATAAATCTGTCAGATATAAATATAGATAAGTCCAGGAGGTGTCATGCACCTCGCTGGACTTAACCCATAATGTGCCTTCACTCTTTACAAAGGAGCTGAATTCCTGGAATTCAGCTTTAACCACTTCAGGTCCAGACACTTGCAACACTGTACCCATATGAATTTTTTAGCATTTTTTTGAGATAGATAAAGCTTTATTTTGGTGGTATTTATTCACCGCTGGGATTTTTATTTTTTTGCTATGTAAATGAAAAAGTCCAAAAATTTTGAAAAAAAGTGTTTCTGTTACAAAATTTTGCAAATAAATAATATTTCATCATAAATCTTTGCCAAAATTTATTCTGTTATCTTTTCAGTAAAAAAAAATAACCCAAACTAGTTTATAACCAAAAATTATAATTTTTAAACATTTTTATTTTATTTTTTTTTAATTATTATTTATGGGGGGTTTTTTTTACATACTGTCACCCTAGCAGTACAGCGTCACCATGGTGACACTCTACTACTTGTGGGGGGTGATGAAGATTTTTTTTTTTTTTTTTTACACTGATTATGGGTGTAAAAGCAATCATTTCTCCTCTCTGGCTGCATTCTTGCAGCCATTGACAACTACTGTCTGAGCTGTGATTGGTCACAGCTTGTCACATGGTACAAGGCTGTTGTGAATAGCCCTGTACCATGTGACCTCTGTGATCATTCACAGATTTCACACGTAGTAAGCAATGATGTCAGAAGTGACATCTTGCTTACTACTATTCATGTGATCACTGATTGGCCAATCAGTGATCACATGATCGGGATCTCACATAGAGGTCCCGTACGGCGATCCGTGTTCCACTGTGTCTGGAGGACACAGCGGGCACCGGGTCTCAGTGCTGCACGCTCCCAGGGAGCGCTCACAAGCAGGGTGCGGGGAGGCTGTACTGTGCATTGCCCCGGTTGGTAAGAGGGGAGACGCTAAACCTCACATCTTCCCCCAAGTAATCCCAGCTACAAATTCCCAGCACTCCTTTCACTCCAACACAGTCGCTCCCAATCTTTTTTCACTTGCGTACCCCCCTTGACTGCCCGTTTCAATAAATTGTACCCTTCAATGGGGGCAAAGCATATACCGCCAGAACACCGTGGATCTTCAAGATAATGTCCAAACGTTTATTAACCACTTCCAGCCCAGAGCCTATATATATATATATATACACACACACACATACATACATATACACACACAACCTCGGAAGAAAGCCGTTATAGCAGGAGCACTGCTGCAGCCATGATCCTGGTAACATCTTTTTCAACCAGCGACCAACTTTCCAGTAAAAGTAATCCAAGCAGCTATATAGCTGCCCAATCACTTTTACAGGTTTCATAAGGCCCTTCCGCCATTCCTAGGTTCTCCCGCACCACTGGGGAGCCCAGGACCTCTGTAAGCAGTCAGGTCAGCTGCACACAGAGGAAAGGGAAGAACACCTGTTCCTCCCTCTCCCGTGTCACAAAAGAAGTCTGATGCGTCAAGGATTTTGTCACTTCTGGTTTCAGTTCTGCATTTATCTGGCCGGTAAGGCCAGGGTAGCTGCTGGAGGAGAAGGGATTGAGGATAGACCCCCTGATCTCGTAATAAAGAGTACCTGTCACTGCCCTAGTTATCACAAGGGATGCTGTTCATCTCTTATGATATCAATAAAGTTTAATATAAAAAAAAAAAATTAAAAAGTGTAAAAAAAAAATTAAAGCACTCCTGTTCCTTGGTGCTTATGTGCAAATAATGTCCACTAACATTATACATTTTTGAAAAGCAGAGGTCCTGAAGAATAAAATGGTGGTTGTTGCAATTTTTGTTTTATGTTGCATGATATTTCAAACTGCAATTTTCAGAAAAAAAATGACAGAAATGCCTTTTCTGATACGTTTCATTCTTATTGTACCTGACGAGGGATCCTAGTGGGTCCAAAATTGTTGTACAGCTTCCTACATTCCCGAATGCTGGGCTGACCTTCAAGGTAATGTCAGAGTTTGCCCATTCCTTCCTCCCCCCTCCAAACTCGTACTTGTCCATGACAATCCTGGGCTGTCTCATTATCCTACAGGAATACACGGGAGACGGCAGGCAGGCTCTGACCCTACCTGGATAATTGACTCTTTAGAATGGCTGGCATGCAACAGCAGATAAAGCTGCTTCAGGTGAATTGAAACACTTTCAAATGGAAACTTCTGTATTTGTACATTAAAGGTTTGCTTTAAAACAATATTAGGATTGGAGTATTGGCTTGGGCTTTGTTTACAAACACTGCATTGTGCTTTTGATCATACAGTACAGGCTTGTGTGGGATAGGCTTTGTTTACAAACACTGCAATGTGCTTTTGATCACAGAGTACAGGCTTGTGTGGATGGGCTTTGTTTACAAACACTGCATTATGCTTTTGATCACAGAGTACAGGCTTGTGTGGATAGGCTTTGTTTACAAACACTGCATTGTGCATTTGGAAATAGAGTACAGGCTTGTGTGGATAGGCTTTGTTTACAAACACTGAATTATGCTTTTGATCACAGAGTACAGGCTTGTGTGGGTGGGCTTTGTTTACAAACACTGCATTGTGCTTTTGATCACAGAGTACAGGCTTGTGTGGGTGGGCTTTGTTTACAAACACTGCATTGTGCTTTTGATCACAGAGTACAAGCTTGTGTGGATAGGCTTTGTTTACAAACACTGCATTGTGCATTTGGAAATAGAGTACATGCTTGTGTGGATAGGCTTTGTTTACAAACACTGCAATGTGCTTTTGATCACAGAGTACAGGCTTGTGTGGATGGGCTTTGTTTACAAACACTTCATTGTGCTTTTGATCATACAGTACAGGCTTGTGTGGATAGGCTTTCTTTACAAACACTGCAATGTGCTTTTGATCATACAGTACAGGTTTGTGTGGATAGGCTTTGTTTACAAACACTGCATTATGCTTTTGATCACAGAGTACAGGCTTGTGTGAATGGGCTTTGTTTACAAACACTGCACTGTGCTTTTGATCATACAGTACAGGCTTGTGTGGATAGGCTTTGTTTACAAACACTGAAATGTGCTTTTGATCATACAGTACAGGCTTGTGAGGGTGGGCTTTGTTTACAAATACTGCATTGTGCATTTGAACATAGCGTACATGCTTGTGAAGATAGGCTTTGTTTACAAACACTGCATTGTGCATTTGAACATGGAGCAGAGGCTTGTGTGAACAGGCTCGGTTTACAAAAGCCTGTACTCTATGTGCAAAAGCACAATGCAGTTTATGTGGACAGGCTTTGTTTACAAACACTGCATTGTGCATTTGAATGTAGCACAAAGCGAGGCAGGCCAGACATGCCTCCGAGGGTTCATCCACACAGCGGATTAAAATGAACACATGAAATGCCTTAGCTCACCTTTGGATTTGTTGCGCAGGGCTGACTTCAGCAGAGCAGCTTTCAGTGCCGCCTTGGTGTCATCAGAAATAGCGCCCTCTCTCTTTGGCACTGGCTCAGGATCAGTCTTAATTGCGGGGGCCTCCTCTTTCACCTCCGTACTTTCTATGGATGGCACAATTTCCCCATCCTCCGAGGGAGAGGTCAGGTCAATGGTTTCTGGTTTCACAGGAACTCTTGGGGACTCCATGGGGAAATCGCCTCTTTCCCTGGCAGAATTGGCACTTGGCATATCCACGTCGAACCCTTGAGGGGGGGGCGGCGGGAGCGGTGGTGACTGAAAGTCATCTGACCTAATGATGCTGTCAGTCAGGGAACCTTCATCTGCTGGTTTCAGGGCGGGTTTAAAGCTGATCTGCCGTCGGATGCCCTCTCTCCTCCTCTGGTGGAAGCTGTCTATCTCCGCCACGATGGCCTCTTTGATCTGCTCTTTAGTCAGGATCTGCTTGTCGAAGTCGAAGTCAAATGCTGGCACACATTCTGGCTCATCGTCGGGGTCATGGTACTTGGATAAAAAAGGGTGCCGCAGGGCTTCACACACCGATATCCGCTCACGCGGGTCAAATCTCAACATTTTGGAGAGCAGATCCAAGGCTTTCCTATCTCCTTGAGGGTACAGGTTCGCCCAAGGTACCGGCTGGCGAGAGGGCAAGCTCTGGATGTACGCTCGGACCCTCTCTGCTCCAATGGCTCGGATCACGTGGCTGGATGGTGTTCCAAGCACCGTCATGATGAGCTGAAGCTGATGGATATAGTTCTTTCCAGGGAAGAGCTGTTTGCGGCCCAACATTTCGGCAAAGATGCAGCCAACAGACCACATGTCGATAGCCTGAGTGTACTCGTGGAGGGACAGCATGAGCTCCGGGGCACGGTACCAACGAGTGGCCACATACTCTGTCATGAAATATTTGTACTCATCCGGCTTGGTGCAAAGTCCTCTGGCCATGCCAAAGTCGCCAACCTTAAGCTCACAGTTCTCATTGATCAGAAGGTTACTTGGCTTTAGGTCACGGTGGAGAACATTCGCTGAATGAATGTATTTTAAACCCCTCAACAGCTGGTACAGGAAATAGCGGGCATGTTCTAATGTCAGGGGCTGAGAGGAGTGGATGATCTGGTGAAGATCGCTCTCCATGAGATCCAGCACCACATATCTGAAGATCACAAAGATAGAAAAACTCAGTGAGTGCTCACAATATATTCATAAAAGCAGCTAAGCACATTAAAGGAAACCATAAACCTTTCAAGAGACATGTATATAGAAAAAGTGCAGCGCTAAAAATATTCGGACAGATTAGACGACACCTAGACAATGCCCATCCACCCTAGGCTGGCTCAAGTTGCTTCCTGAAAAGGACCGCCTGGCAGACCTCCATTTTGCTGATACATTGCGCATTTTCTTTGCGCTTCTGGTGAGTGCGCATTTTATACATACCCTGCCCCTCACCGAGTTTTATTCGAACCACGACCGTGGGATTAATATATCACCTTGAGCTCTTACATTGTGGACTCATTACCCATTTATGAACATTGCTACCAAAAATCTGTCCGAATATTTTTAGCGCTGCACTTTTTCTATATACATATCTGAAGATCAGAAAACAAATAAATACAAGCTGTAAGAGCAGTGAAAATGTGCAACGGTCTTGTGTCAGAGCTGGCCGTAGCTGACCAGCAGTATTCTGTTTCAGAATAGGACAGAGTGGGTTTCTTGCTTTCAAATCGGAGCTGAAAAAGACCAACACGCTATGATATATTTAGTCCGAACACTGTGCATCCCTGGTGCCCCCACGGGCCGCATCTGGCCTACTGGATCTCTGTGGGTGGCCTGCTGCATTCAGGGCAGGGTCCACTACCTGTTGGCCACCAGCGTAGAGTCGCTGCCACTGACCACCAATGCAGGAAGGTGGTTAATGGGGAGGATAGAAGCACTGCCATCCACCCAGAAATGGAGATGTCTAGCCCCAAGGAATGAAGAGATTGCTATTCTCCCCTTATCCAATAATGGAAAGATTGATATTCCCCCCCCCCTCCCATCACCACCCAGGAATGGAGAGATCACTATGTCCCCCGTATCCCCCTTCCCTCTCCACACACACACACCCAGGAATGGAGAGATTGTTATTCCTCCCTCACCCAATAATGGAAAGATCGCTATCTCCAAATTACCCCACCCAGGAATGGAAAGTTGGCTATCCTCCCTCACCAGGGAATGGAAGTACTGCTATCCGCTCTCACCCAGGATTGGAGAGATCGCTATTCCGACACAAACACAACCAGGAATGGAGAGATGGCTATCCTCCCCTCACGCGGCAATGGAGAGATGGCTATCCTCCCCTCACCCGACAATGGAGAGAGACGGCCATCCTCCTCCCCTCAACCGGCAATGGAGAGACGGCCATCCTCCCCTCACCCGGCAATAGAGAGATGGCAATGGAGACGGCCATCCTCCCCTCACCCGGCAATGGAGAGACGGCCATCCTCCCCTCACCCGGCAATGGAGAGACGGCCATCCTCCCCTCACCCGGCAATGGAGAGACGGCCATCCTCCCCTCACCCCGGCCGGCAATGGAGAGACGGCCATCCTCCCCTCACCCGGCAATGGAGAGACGGCCATCCTCCCCTCACCCGGCAATGGAGAGACGGCCATCCTCCCCTCACCCGGCAATGGAGAGACGGCCATCCTCCCCTCACCCGGCAATGGAGAGACGGCCATCCTCCCCTCACACCGGCAATGGAGAGACGGCCATCCTCCCCTCACCCGGCAATGGAGAGACGGCCATCCTCCCCTCACCCGGCAATGGAGAGACGGCCATCCTCCTCATCCTCCCCTCACCCGGCAATGGAGAGACGGCCATCCTCCCCTCACCCGGCAATGGAGAGACGGCCATCCTCCTCGGCCCTCCCCTCACCCCGGCAATGGAGAGACGGCCATCCTCCCCTCACCCGGCAATGGAGAGACGGCCATCCTCCCCTCACCCGGCAATGGAGAGACGGCCATCTCCCCTCCCCTCACCCGGCAATGGAGAGAATGGCAATGGAGAGACGGCCATCCTCCCCCTCACCCGGCAATGGAGAGACGGCCATCCTCCCCTCACCCGGCAATGGAGAGACGGCCATCCTCCCCTCACCCGGCAATGGAGAGACGGCCATCCTCCCCTCACCCGGCAATGGAGAGACGGCCATCCTACCCTCACCCAGCAATGGAGACGGCTATCCTCCCCTCACCCGGCAATGGAGAGATCATCCCACACCCCCACCCAGTAATGGATAGATTCCCCTTCACCTGGGAATAAAGAGATTCCCCCCCCAGGAATGAAATGAATAATTCTTACACAGATTTGAATTCGGAGTAAGGCACAGCTGGTTTCAGGATGTCTTTGATGGCGATGACGTTGTCGTGTTTGAAGTGTTTCAGAATCTTCAGCTCTCGTAAGGTGCGCTTGGCGTGGGTCACCACATCGAAGGCGTTGGGGATCTTCTTAATGGCAACCTTCTGACCTGCAGAGCAGCGGAAACATTACAGCTCTGATAGCTGATTGGCTCATGGCTGACAAATCTTTCCTTTATCTATCAAATGACAACCTGATATAGCCAAACTAGACTAGTTATAAAAAGAGGTGACTGCTCTGGTTATATTTTACCCTTCCCCCCTCCCCTCCTCCTTCCCACCATCAACATGCTAATGACATTTACAAATAAAAACCTTTTTCATGACTTATTATATTTTAGTCCCAATGATGTCACCGCTGGCTCTCTGTGCTTCTCTATGCAATGCGGGAAGATCATGGCTCATGGAAGGAACCGGAATGGTGCTGTACACAGGTTCCTGAACACATCACAGCACCCTGTCTCAGTACTCCTCTCAAGTACCCTCAACCCTGATGCCAGCAGTGGGCTGGCTCTTGGGAGGAGTTATGCAAATATCAAGACGCCTGTCACGTCTGCAGGAATGGGCCATCTAGGAAGGCATGTGGACCACCTTAGGTACTGCCCACATGTGATGCTAAGCCTGCATGATTGAAAGAACTGAAACCGGGGGGGCGGGGCAGAGAGGGGGGAGAGAGAGGGAGGGGGGGAGAGGGGGGGAGAGGGGGAGAGAGGAGGGGGAGAGAGAAGAGAGAGGGAGAAAAAGAGGAGAGAGAGGGAGGGGGGGAGAGAGGGGGGGGGAGGGGAAGAGAGGGAGGGAGGGAGGGAGAGAGGGGGGAGGGAGAGAGAGAGGGGGGGGAGAGGGAGGGGGGGAAGAGAGAGGAGGGGAAGAGAGAGAGGGGGGAAAGGAGGAGAGGGGGGGGAGAGGAGAGGGGAGAGAGAGAGGGGGGGAGAGAGGGAGGGGGGAGAGGGGGGAGAGAGGGGGGGAAGAGAGGAGGGGGAGGGAGGGGGAGAGGGGGGGGGGGAGAGGAGAGAGGGGGGGGAGAGGGAGGGGGTGGGGAAGAGAGGGAGGGAGGGAGGAGAGAGAGGGAGGGGGGTGAGAGAGAGGAGGTGTGGGGGGAGTAGAGAGAGGGGAGGGGAGGGAGAGAGAGGGAGGGAGAGGGGAGAGAGAGGGGGGCAGAGAGAGAGGGGGGGGAGACTCGTGGAGAGAGGGGGTTTGGGGAGAGGGAGAGGGGGGAGAGAGAGAGAGAGAGGAGGGGCGAGGAAGGAGGGAGAGAGAGGGGGGAGCCTCTTTTCTCGGGAGGAGAGAGGGTCCTCGCTCGCGAGAGGGAGAGAAAGGAGAGGGGGAGAAGGAGGGGAGGGAGAGAGAGAGAGAGGGGGAGAGAGAGAGAAGGGGGGGGGAGAGGAAAAGTAAATAAATGCCCCCCCCAAAACATCATTACCGGTGCACTTCCTGCGGGCAGACGACACCACGCCATAAAGCTCCAGTGCCGCCGATCGTCTCACGATGATCTCGTATTCATCTCCCACATCGAAGGTAATGTCGAAGGAGCGCTCTTTCAGGATGGCGAGGTTCTTAGCCGCGGTGGACGTGCAGTGAGATTCTTCCAGTTTGGATGGCTCTCCACCCTGCGCAGGATCTTCAGGTTTTCTTCTCCGCCATGGCTGCCTTCAAAAAGAAGAAGAGAGTGAAAAAAGGGGGGGGAACAGGAAGAACAGGGAACACCAACCGGCACAACCCCTGTGTATGTATTGCTGCTGCTGTTCATAGATAGACATATCCTCTAGTTTGCACATCTTTTTTTTTTTAAGCACATTGTTTATACTTTTTACAGTCCTGGTGAAGAAGGAACATTATATTCTAGAAACGTGTTGGCTTGTTATCTGGTGAGATGAATACTTCTGGACTCCTAAGAGTGGCCCATGCAGTACATTGTCCGGGGACCCCTCCCCCTACTATTGGGAGATATAAAAATTGTACCTGTAAAGAAAAAAGTGAAGGTTTACGCTGACCTCACAACCCCGTCTTTTGCCCACAGTGCCTGGCAAGGATGGTGTCACACTCTTTCTGGCTCCATCCAGGGGAACACAAAGCAGGTGAAATCTCATGAGAAGAAGATCTTGCAGGGAACTGGAAAAGGACCGCATACGTTTTGAGATTGTTGGACTTGAGAGTCTTCATGAGTTTTTGCCTGCTCTGTGCTCCCCGGGAAACTTCCCAGAAGGAAGGTGACGTCACAACCAGTGATGTGGAAGACGAGGGTGAGGTAAGTAAATAAACTTATAAACAGTAGGGATAGAAGAGGGTAGGGATCTGTAGAGGGAGAGGATCTGGGCATATATGAGTGGACTTTCCATTGTACTACTTGGTCCACTCTGAAGTGGTGCTCTTGCCCTCCATACACCAACCTGTCTTCACCCCAAAAACAGTCATGCTCTACTCTATGGCCTTCACCCTGAGAGAAGAAACCCACCCTGGACCTGGCTCTACTCACCCACCTTGGACCCAGCTCCTCTTGCCCACCCTGGACCCGGCTCCTCTCGCCCACCCTGGACCCGGCTCCTCTCGCCCACCCTGGACCCGGCTCCTCTCGTCCACCCTGGACCCGGCTCCTCTCGCCCACCCTGGACCCGGCTCCTCTCGTCCACCCTGGACCCGGCTCCCCTCGCCCACCCTGGACCCGGCTCCTCTCATCCACCCTGGACCCGGCTCCCGGCATTCACTCACTCTTCTGTGCTGCACACCTGGAAGACCACAGCTCAAAACGGGGACAACTGAATCAGAACTGAGCGGACATTGATAAGGACTGACCTGATCTCATATCTGTGAATACTGGAAATCTGCATTATTTGTTTATACAAGACGTCCTTCCCATATACATGTCCTTATCTAATCACCAGGGACGGCGGTGTGTACACAGGAAGGAGACCTACAGCGCCAAGTATTAGAAATACTTATATTGCATTACCCCCTTTATATACCCCCCAGTGAGGGTGTATTGTACCCCCTTTATATACCCACCAGTGAGGGTGTACCCCCATTATATACCCACCAGTGAGGGTGTACCCCCATTATATACCCCCCCAGTGAGGGTGTACCTCCATTATATACCCACCAGTGAAGGTGTACCGCCCCATTACCCGGCTATCTCGCCCACCAGTGAGGGTGTACCCCCATTATATACCCCCCAGTGAAGGTGTTCCCCCATTATATACCCCCCAATGAGGGTGTACCTCCATTATAAACCCACCAGTGAGGGTGTACCCCCATTATATACCCAGCAGTGAGGGTGTACCCCCATTATATATCCACCAGTGAGGGTGTACCCCCATTATATACCCCCCAGTGAGGGTGGACCTCCATTTTATACCCCCCAGTGAGGGTGTACCTACATTCAGGGGCGGACTGACCATTTGGAAACTCGGGCACTGCCCGATCGGGGCCCCGGGGTCAGTAGGGGGCCCCAATGAGATGCCCCTGGTACATGTTTTTCTAATAGGCTTTTTTGAGTTTGGGCAAGGAGACTACAGGGGCCCCATGATCCCCTATTGCCCGGGGGCCCCATGAGTTGTCAGTCCGCCCCTGCCTACATTATATACCCCCCAGTGAGGGTGTACCCCCATTATATACCCACCGGTGAGGGTGTACCTATTGTATACCCCCCAGTGAGGGTTATCTCCATTATATACCCCCAAGTAAGGGTGTACCCCCATTATATACCCCCCAGTGAGGGTGTACCTCCATTATATGCCCTCCAGTGAGGGTGTACCCCCATTATATACCCCCAGTGAGGGTGTACCTCCATTATATGCCCCCCCAGTGAGGGTGTACCTCCATTATATGCCCCCCCCGGTGAAGGTGTACCCCCATTATATACCCCCCAGTGAGGGTGTACCTCCATTATATGCCCCCCCAGTGAGGGTGTACCTCCATTATATACCCCCCCAGTGAAGGTGTACCTCCATGATATGCCCCCCAGTGAAGGTGTACCTCCATTATATACCCCCCAGTGAGGGTGTACCCCCATTATATGCCCCCCCAGTGAGGGTGTACCCCCATTATATGCCCCCCAGTGAGGGTGTACCCCATTTATATGCCCCCCAGTGAGGGTGTACCTCCATTATATGCCCCCCAGTGAGGGTGTACCGCATTTATATGCCCCCCAGTGAGGGTGTACCTCCATTATATGCCCCCCAGTGAGGGTGTACCTCCATTATATGCCCCCCAGTGAGGGTGTACCTCCATTATATGCCCCCCAGTGAGGGTGTACCCTGTTTTCCATCCCCAGTGAAGAGATATCACAGTTTATAGCTCTCCATACAGACAGTGTAGCCGTATATTAGCCCTCACGCCCCCGGACACACACACACACCCACCAGGAAGAGTCGGCCACAGCGGCCCCTTTAAGAGAACTCACCCAGCGGCCGAGCCGCCGCAGGACCCGGATGTACGGCGGAAAACTGAGGGCGGAGCTAGAGTCACCGCTGTCCACAGAACATAGCGTCTCCACCAATCAGAGACAGGGTGAAGGAAGAGAGGAGAGCATGGGAGGCGTGTCTTGTTTCTTGGCAACGGGGAGGCGGAGCCGGCCCATTCTCCCGGAGCTTCTCGGATACAGAGAGGGCGGGGCACTTACATACAGGGCGGGGCACTTACATACAGGGCGGGGGCTGGCCTGTTGGCGGGTGTAGCAGTGGGGGGGGAAAGCTCACATGGCACTCTGCCTGTTCCACGGCCATGTGGTGTAATGACTCCTACAGCAAGGTGCCGCCTCTCGTGCCTGCTAACCAATCGCGAACCGCACAGGCCGTAAACTCCCGCCTCACACGAGTGCTGACCAATCACAGCCCGCGCAGACAGCAAGCTCCCGCCTCTCACATCTGCTGACCAAACATAGCCCGCGCAGACTGCAAGCGTCCGCCTCCCATCCCTGCTGGCCAATCGCGGCCCGCGTAGACTGCAAGCTCCCGCCTTCCCTGTAGCTACCAACCAATCAGAGCCCGCAGCAAAGTCCTCTGTGCATGTCAATCACTGTACACTGGGATTTATTGGAGGGATGTGTGTTGGGTGAGAAATGGGTAAAATCCGGGCGGAAGGTGGGCGCCAAAGAGGTGTAACCGGGAGCTATATAGAGACGCGGAAAGTTGCAGCGTGTATATGAGAGATAACTACACAAGTCCGAGCTCCTATCCCTGAGCCACGCGTGCGCACAGAGTTCCGGTCATCCTATTGGCTCTGTCTACCTAGTGGGCGGAGCGCGCACAGAACACGCCTGCTCGGTGTGGAGAGGCGTGGCATTCCGGGGAGGGGGCGGGGCTCTGGTGTGTAGAGATGTGCAGAGGTGGCCAGGATAGGAGGGGTTAACATTCCCAGCCAGTGACGGGAGGGGGGAGGGGACAGTGCTGACACCAATGTACTGGTGTCAGTGGGAGCAATAATAACCGGAAATATCTAAGGGGGGCAGTACAACCCTGCAGCTGAGCCCTGTTCTTACTGCCCTGAACAGCTACCCAATTTTACTGCAGGGGCTGGGGGTGTACACAGGGGGACGGCTCTGCAACACGTATCCCCTGTGCTAGCCACACCCTGCATTCTCACCATACAATCTGATTGGACAACCGCCTTCGAGGTGACCATACATCATACAATCTGATTGGACAACTTAAAACTAACCATACAATCTGATTGGACGACCCCCTTAGAGCAGTTCATACGATCTGATTGTAAAATCTACTTAGAGAGGGCCATACGATCTGTTTGGACGACCTCCTTAGAGCGGACCATACAATCTGATTGGATCATCTCCTTAGAGCGGACCATACAATCTGATTGCACAACCTCCTTAGAGCGGACCATACAATCTGATTGTACAACCTCCTTAGAGCTGACCATACAATCTGATTGCACAACCTCCTTAGAGCTGACCATACAATCTGATTGTACAACCTCCTTAGAGCTGACCATACAATCTGATTGCACAACCTCCTTAGAGCTGACCATACAATCTGATTGTACAACCTCCTTAGAGCGAGCGGACCATACAGTCTAATTGTACAACCGCCTTAGAGCGGACCATACAATCTGATTGTATGACCTCATTGGTCACAACAATGTAATCTGAGTCCATTGCATGTGGTATCGGGCCAGGCCTGATACTACAAAGATCTAAAGGAGATTGTACAATCAGATTGCAGCATGTATGTGAACCCCAAGGCTCCATGCACACTAGCATTATGCTAGTGATTCGGTTTTTAGGAGCGTCCGCCTTTTATTAACGTTTTTACCGTACATGTGGAAAAAAAAAGAAAAAGCTGTCAGTGGCGTTCAGCGTTTTTTTCTCTTTTCTGCTGGAAAAAACGCTCCAAAAAAACTTCACAAAACACTTTTTTTTCTGCTCCGAGACGCTGAAACTAAAAAAAAATGGTGCTAGCCTAAAGCCGTGTGTACGGAGTACAGACACCTGGGGGGGGGGGGGGGGGGGGGTGCCGGAGTGCCGGAGCGAGATTGTACACTCCGATTGTAGAGTCTAAAGCCGCCCACACACATTACAATCTCATTGTATGAACTGTAAGGGTCGGTTCACACTATAGAAACGCAGTCCAGATGCATTTTCAACGTGTTCCGGTCCGTTTTTTGAAACGTTCCAGTTCATTTTTTCCCC